TTAAAGGATTAATTGTTCTTCACGTAAGAAAACTTAAGAATTATGTAAAGCTATGACTTTATCTATTATTTATCAAATGTATTACATTGAAACAAATTTCCGTCTTTGTGAAAATATACTGACACTTAATTGTTACTTATAACACAAAAAGCTTCATAAAGAAAAATCGTTACATGTTAATGAAAGTACAGTAGAGTTCACTTCTAACCTCTCATCAAATCTGTCAGAATCTGTCAGGAGAACTTTTCTAGGACAGTATGTAGAACTGTCATCCTGACACCTTTTAGACAGTTCTAGCTAGAACAGTTCTTATGTAGAACTGATTTGGTCAGTTTTACCTAGAACTGATTTAGAGAGTTCTACCTAGAACTGATCCTGACAGTTCTACCCTAGAACAGATCCTGACAGTTCTACCCTAGAACAGTTTTAGACAGTTCTACCTAGAACTGACCAAATCTTTGGTCAGTTCTACGGCTAGAATAGTTCTACGGCTAGAACAGTTCTACGATTAGAACTGATTTGGTCAGTTCTACGGCTAGAATTGATTAAGTCAGTTCTATCCATAGAACAGTTTTAAGAACTCTTTGTCTTAAATATAAATAAGTAAATATAAATAATAATAAATCTGAATGGTGACCAGTGAGATGCCCTAACTGCAGTGACGTCATTTAGAACTGTTCTACAATCCAGACAGGTTTGGTCAGTTCTACGGCTAGAACTGTTTTAGACAGTTCTGCTGACAGTTCTACGGTTAGAACTGATTTAGTCAGTTCTGCTGAGAGTTCTACGGTTAGAACTGATTTGGTCAGTTCTGCTGACAGTTCTACGACTAGAACTGATTTGGACAGTTCTACCTAGAACAGTTTTAGACAGTTCTACCCTAGAACTGATCCTGACAGTTCTACTTAGAACAGTTCTAGGGTAGAACTGTTCTAGGTAGAACTGTTCTAGGACAGTTTAGAAAAGTTCTATGACAGATTCTTCTGACAGTTCTAATGAGAGGTTAGAAGTGATCTCCACTGTACTTCGAAGAACAAATATTGCAAATAAAATGATTAAGATACAATAATAATAAGTATAACAATATAATAACAATTTATGACCGAACAGTTTGTCAGTGAAAGTTCAAAAATATCAGATTTATGAAAAATACACTTTTTAAATAGTTCCAAATGAAAGTGCACAATTTACACAAATTATCGCTATCACATAATCCCTACATTCGATAATGAAAAGTGATAAAATTAATTAATTCTTTTTATAACCGTACACTTTACATTGTAATGCCATTTAAATGCTTATAGTCATGATAAAACATAACTCGAATAGTTTTGCGCCCTCTCGAGGTTAAAAGAGCAATCGAAGGTCTACGGAATATAAAAACTGACGGTTTTCGGGTTAACAGACAGAGAATAAAGTATGTATCATTGGCGTACAATGTATGAATACCTAAAAATCTTTTTTTATTCATTTTATGCTAAAAGTTCTACAAGATTATAACTTAACCCTTCCGGAGCACCTGAGATCACCCCAAGTTTTTGGTTGGGTTCGTGTTGCTTAGTCTTTAGTTTTCTATGTTGTGTCATCTGTACTATTATTTGTCTGGTTGTCTTTTTATTTTTGGCCATGGCGTTGTCAGTTTGTTTTCGATCTATGAGTTTGACTAGTACTGTCCCTCTGGAATGTTTCGTCCCTCTTTTAAGGGAACGTGAAACATTCATTTCTCATTTTCACTACACTAAACTGTTGTTCTTTTCATTAATAATGCTTCATAAATTTTCTGTGCTGCAAGTTTAAATACATTGGATATGTACTTGTCCTATGTTTATGGAAATTTGTTTGAATGGAAATTAAAAAAAGCATTAAACTTACAATGTCAATTTATACGAAGTGAAGTCCCGGATTATAGTACTAGTATTGTACTGCATCAGGTGGGCGGGAAAGTGGGTTTCTGTTTTGTGAAATCAAAACCAAGGGTCTGAGATGAAACTTAAAAAATGGAAGAATAATTGCATTTATCTTACCTCCTATACATTTCTAGGAATATGATTGGTTAAAAGCAACCGCGTGGAAACCGTGTATATTCCATATTGGGTTAGTAGGCGGGACTTATTTCAATACACGATTAGTAGTGGTGTTACGTCCCTTTATAAAAATAACACGGTGTTGAGGAAAAATCTTACAGGTTTCCACAGACGAAAAAATTGATGATGAACGATTAAAATAAATTCATAAAACACATTTAAAGCTAACAAGTTGTTATTGTTGGCATTTGTTTTTGTATAGACCAATGGAAGTAGGTTCTTTATACTAATTAACGGTATTGAAGACTAATGATCACTTTGATAGGCAACTAGTCTAAATACCTCATATGTTAAGATAGTCGGTAAGATAAATTCGTTACATAGTGTGATAGTGACCTAATACGATATATATGGGGTCAGTAAATTCCTCTCATATGGAATTTACTGACCCCATAAATATCATATGTAACTAATAGTGGACATTCAAACTCATAGTCGAAAATAAACGGACAACGCCATGGCTAAAAAAGAAAAAGACAAACAAAAGTACACAAAACACAATATAGAAAACCAAAGACTGACCAACACGAACCCCGAGTGATCTCGGATGCTCCGGAAGGGTAAGCAGTAAAAAGCCAAATTCGGGGAAAAGGGGACGGGATTGTAGTTACGACAATTGAAACATATCCGTTGTCATTTGTGAAACGGATATTCAATAACGGTCAACCAACTCTTGATGGCGTCCGTAAAATTAACGAAGGGACGATTCAAGTTCACCACTTGGAAATCTTGGTTTAATAGATTCCTTGTAAGAGGAAATACAAGCCCTAGAATATCGTATCAACTGGGAGATATTTGAAAATATCAAAGAGGGTACCAATTTTTGTGTAATCAACACCTGCAGTTTTTAACCCGTTCCTTGAAACTGAATGTTTTCAAAACTATTGAGGTTATATATGTACCCGTTTTTATGGATTTGTATAACGATTGTATCCCCATGAATTACCATATATATTTTCATACAATCAAGCCTTAGGGACTTATCATTTTTTATCTGGGAGGGGGGGGGGGGGGGGCTGGTCAAAATGCAGGGGGGATCAAGTTTTTTTCTGTATGTGGAAAAGGGGGGTTCAATTTTTTTTATAAATTCAATGTGGGGAGATCAATATTTTTTGCACATAGAAATAAGTAGTTCACATACTTCAACGGAGACAAAATGTCAATGTCAAGAAGAATATTACAACAGTCAAATCGAAATATATTTTTAACACCATTCATATACAATTAAGTAAGACATCACAAGACTTTAGTGATGTAGGATTTGAAGCTGCCATTTTGTGTCATTTTGTCCCATATAAAATGCATAGGTGCTTCACAATCCGAATAATTTAGTCGTTATATTTCACTCATGCACTTCGATCACTAAATTAACAATTATTACTGCCAAGTTTTGTTATAATCAGCTTAATAGTTTGAGAGAAATTAAGTATAAATTAAAACGAAATCTACAGCGATTTGTGCAAAATTTTGTCCAAAAATACAAATCACGCCGCATCATGGAAGAATAAAGTGTAGAGCAATAAATTCTCCAATAAATGATTAAATATTCATCTAATCTGCATACAAATAGTTGAATATATTTATACAACAGACGATTCTGAGATGATGAACAACACTAATGTATCTTTTTGTTTCATTACAAGATCGCTTTGGGTCCATTTATACCTCTCACTCCCTCAAAATTTGTACTTTTTAGGCTAATAAATCAAAATTTTGAGGTTACTATCAAACATTTATGAATGAAATGTGACAATAAATGAGTAATTGAATTGTTCAAGCTGTAAGCATGAATTATCCATATAAAAGTTTAGCGACTCAATGGAGGTTTCAATAAGGCCTTACGTAAAACTTAAGTGTAAGCAGCGTTCAAGAGAGGGACATATAATAGATCCCTCTAAGTGAATAATGTGTTGTTACTGTTTCAAAAAGTTTACTTTTTAATGTATATTTTTTACAGAGTTACTTAGGATAAAGTTTTCTTTAATAGCCCAATATAGGAAATTAGAAAAAAAAGTTGGAAAAAGCTATTCAAAGCACTGGCTTGCTCTACCTACTAACATTCATGGAAGAGCCCTATTGCAAGGCAAGTTTCCCTCAAATGTGTTTTTGGACTCAATACACTGAGAATATTTCATTTTCAATATTTTCGTGAAATAACATGATACGTGTTTTGTATGTTAAAATTTTGGCATGTTTAATAGAGGGGGGATCACAATTTTTAAATGTTTTTATGGGGGGGATCAAATAAAAATAGTGAAATATTATGGGGGGGATCAAGAAATTTTGTATGTTTCATTTCAAAATGACCAGCACCCCCCCCCCCCCCCCCCCCTCCCAGGTTAAAAATGATAAGTCCCTTATAGTATTTATTTGTTGGTTGCTTGGGTTGCTGCCTCCTTTATGTATGTATCCAACATCTCCTCTTGCCAAATATTCATAAAATTAGAAACATATGACATGTCTCGAGAAATAATCAGTTGTTTTCAGTAAATTTATCTTCTTATCATGTAATATACTATTCAAACTACATCGATCTTAATGCCGACATATGGAAAAAAAAGACAAAGGATCGACTAATCTTTTCCCAGAAAAAAAATTATCTAAAGAAAATACTGATAGGCCTGATATGGGCCTTTCTTCGTTTTCTTTGACGTCTCTGCATAAACAAAAAAAATGTTGACCTTTTTACACTTTTTGATATTAACCCTAGATGTAAGTTATAACTACTGTCTGTTAATGAATATTATTATGATTAAATTAGTATCAATAAACCAACCAGCAAACTGCAACTGTAACAGATGTTTTAAAGCTCAAATTATTAGTTTCGTTTCACGTGTATCGTTTTTCTAGATCATTTCATAAAGTATATTGATTCTCACGTGTTATCTCCTTGTGTGTACCGGAAATCAATAGTGAATACACAAAAGTCCTTTATCTGTGTGAATGCAGTAGTAAATTACTTTACAACATGACCTGTGTACAAAATGTCTGTTAACGAACGTTTAATGATAGTGTATTCATGGCATTTATTTGGTAATCGAGACATGATCTTCATTTTCCGTGATCTATATTTGTAAATAACTAATGCATACACGTGCAGTGACATATATTACAAATACATGTAAACAAAGAGAAAATGGATAAAAATCTTGATAATAAGGATGACAATGAAAGGAAGAAAGGTAATGCGGATTTTATTTTAAAACTTGTTTTAACATGATTAAGTCAAGGATGTAATATGAGTGAAATGTTTCCGCTTAAATTTTAGGTTACGTACCATAATAAAGGGGCCGGGTGGACAGGGGGTCTCTGATACTTTAACTTCCCTCTCCTCTACCACCAACCCCCTGCTCCCACTTCCATCCCCCTACTCCCACTACCGTCCTCCTTACTCCCAGACGAAATTGGTAAAAAAAAAAAATCACAGAATATCAATTTTTATTCCCCCTTTTTTCCCCCGTTTACCCACACCCTCTTTACTCCCGCTTCCCCTCTCATTCCCATGTTCCCTTACCCCTGTCCACCCCCTCATTATAACCGGCGTAATGATTTTATACGTGTACTGTTAATTTGTTTCGTCTGCATGCATCGAAGGACCATTAATTAAATTGCTACATATATGTAAATTGGTCAGTAAAAATGAAGGTGTGAATTCCTCAGTTAATGTTAATACGTTACAATTCATACCAAAACGAATATGAAATAAACGTAAAATGTTTATAATTTTTCATGAAAAAAGGGGGGTGGGTGATACTGACAGAACATTAAGTTCGGAAGTGGTGAAATGTTGACCTACACTTTTTCAGAATTTACACAAGTAGTCTTTAACGTGCATGAAGCGTACCACTTTCTATGTATATGGTTGCATAGGACTTCTGTATTGTAGCCCGATTACTGACCACAGGACCAGGGGCACGTCCTTTTTTTCTGCAAGCTACGGTCACACTAGTTTGCTGCTTGTGGGTAGAATAAAACGTTTGTGAGGTCCTATATAAAATACTACCGTCATCCCTACACGCGATACTGTCGAGCGTTTACCTTAAAGTTTTTTTTCCCTTTTTTTAACAAGCACTATTACAGTCAGACTGTATCCTCTTTTTAAATAGTCAAAAACTTTGTAAAAATATAAAATTATTCGCCTACTTACGTACCCTTATTTTTGTCAGCATGTTAGCTTTAACAACAAGTATTATTTGTTTAGACCTAATTAATACGAATTAAAATTAGAAATATATATAAGTAAATATTTGAACAGTTTATATTTCGTTTCATTGCAACATTATCAAATCCATGAAATCATAGTGATTTTCATGATGTCAATCAACGTTCAAGAGGGTACTTAATTGGAAAAATAAATATTCTTATTCTTATTCTATTAATTGGTAGAGCTACTTATACATGTAACAATATTGTCGCCAGATTTTCCCAAGTTGTGTAAATGAATAGAGAGAAAGGAAACAATTTTATAAAGGAGGGACGAAAGATACCAGAGGGACAGTCAAACTCATAGATCGAAAACAAACTGACAACGCCATGGCCAAAAATAAAAAGACAAACAGACAAATAATAGTACAGATAACACAACATAGAAAACTAAAGACTAAGCAACATAAAGCACAGTCACTAAAAATGGGCCACTAGCACTGTCTTTATTCATGTTATCCATCCATTACAATAAATTGCTTATTTATTAATTTACACTGCCATGTACAATACCTTTCAATTTGAAATTATTCTTATCTATTATAAACGTTCTACGTGTCCTATATCTTGATTTTCTGACCGACATCGTAATTAAGTGAAATATCATGAATATGGAAATAGATATACCGAAATAAATTCAATTACATTCTTAATTTACAAATGCCATTGTTTTAAATACTTCGCGCCTCTGGTTTTAATGCAGGACATACATAACAAATTACTTTAGTACATGATTTGGTAACTGAGTTTGTACAATGTAAATACGCTTCCCCAGGTAATCCTCGTATCAAAATATTAAAGATAAAAAAAACCATTAAAGAAAACCATAAAAATTGAAAGGGTCTAAATAGATGAGTCAAAATCGCTTACATAGGCGGATCCAGGGGGAGGGGGGGGGGGGGGCTTTCGTGGGAAAAATTTGGTTGAAGCATGACTGGAGCGGCCCCCCCCCCCCCCCCCCCCCCCCCCCCCATGAAAAGTTTTGGATCCGCCACTGGCTTTAGGGCAAATTTTAATGGAGAGAGAGAGAGATTACGAATGTAAGATGGAGACGTAAAAAATTATGCTCCTCATATAAGTAAATTTTTTGCTATATTTCCTATATATATATATAATGATAAATAATTCGTAAATGATCCAATTTATGCTTAGTTGTGGGACCTTCCGCCAGGATAATTTATCTGATTTAGTTATCAAAAAAGACATTTTCAGCTTTAATTTCTTGACTAAGTGAATGCAACAGATTCATTCATAACTTATGTAAAACTTAGAGACCATAACAATCTACCTGTAACCCGAGAGGAATTGAACTTTAAGTGAACTGTAATCAAGTGTCGGGCTAAACAATTTGAGGCTCTTTACGTCTGGGATAAAAATGGATGAAAAAAATACTTCCCAAATATTAAACACTAGTAGAGATGACCTGTATGGATCAACCCAAGAAGGTGTAACTTTGGACAATGTCTATCTATAAGTGCTAAGTATGAATGAAAGACTTAATTACGGCTATAGAGAAAGGAATGTCACATTCAGTTTTGAATCCGGTTCCTTACCTGGAAGAAGAAGTAAATCTTTGACAAATATAGAATCAAAATTAAAATTGAGCCAAACGTAAAATTAAAATTCTCAAAAGCAGATGTGATTCCAGTGATGAAAAAATTTTCCAGATAAAATACGAGCACACCAAACTAAATAAAGAAGTTAAAAATAATAAAAAAAATCACTGATCCTAATAATAACTTGTAGGGAATTAGCGACTTCGTGGACGATTTTAAGCTAAAACACGAGAACAACGTTAAAACAGTGTTCGTACGTCAGTAAAGAAGTATATGATCTTGCAGATAACAGTTTGGAGCTGAAACCAGAAAAATAGACAGTCTTCAATAGCGCAAAACAAGAAAATGACATACTATAGAGCACCATGATTCACCTGCAATGCAGGTAAATGTAAAACAACTTGGTATTTACTGGTTTGGTTTAAACCGAAGGAGAAAACACCAAAGAAGGGATCAGATCCTTTATACGAAAACACCGACATATAACACACCGAATAGAATTTGGTAATGTTCATAGGTTCGGCTATGGCGCTAGACCAGGTAGACGCGGACGTCCTAGACCGATTGTAGCTAGAAACCTATATTCATGCAAAGATCTATCACGAGCGCTTGCAAATACGAACAGATTTAAAGGAAAACCATTTGGAGTCGATCAAAAGTGTTAGTTTCCTGATATAATCGAACAAGCACGCAAAAGCCTGAATCCAATTATTAAGCAGAAACGCGAAGAAGGGCACATTGTTAAGCTAGTGAGAAACAGTTTGTATGTGGATGGTGAAATATATAACGACTGACGATAGCCTAACGTCTCACATGCGCACACCAGACCACCATCAAAAATGAAAACGACCCGAAGTACGACTTCATATCTCAGTTATTGCGGGATTATTGAAACTAATTAAATTAATGTAATGACTTTATCTTCTTGACAGAAACAAAAACTGATGATTTTGAAAAACATTGATATACCAGTTTATACTTTTAAATTGAAAAATAGAAAAACAAATCAAAAGTCAAATCAGGTGTTATTGCATTTGGATACACAACAGAATTCGAATATTATGTGCAAAAACAATAGAATCAGGAAGTAAGTTTAACTTAGTATTTTGGGTTAAAATCTCGGCCAATAATTAAAAACAGAACAAGATGTTATCATTCGTACAGTGTACATACCACCGGGAAATTCTACTTATTGGGTACCAGATTCAGTAAATAAACTAAAACAGGATTTTTAAAAAAACATTCAGTTAACCATGATTCTATTTTTTTCCTTACAGGAGATTTTTTAACAGCAGAACTGTTGGGGATTTGGACTTCTATGAAATGACAAATACTAATCATGTCGATTGACACATCAGATAATTTTAATGTTGATTTTTCAAACAAAAATATACATTGTTTAAAATCTTTATCAAATCAAATAGAGAGTGAGCTAAATAATAATTATGTATTTAAAACTGTTTATTGTACTGTACGTAGACGACACTGTACTTATGTCAGAAACGCAAGCAGATCTTCAAAAAAAAAAAACAACAATTAGAATCTTGAATAATGAAGTTCAATGTATAAAACAGCAAAATTGTATTATTTTTTTTCTAAAGGTAGACCACTACAGAATAATGTTATGTATTATAGATATGATGGATAAGCGTTGATTCTTGAAAAAGAAACCATGAGCCCGGAATGCGAATTGTTTGTTTTTCATGAATCAACGCTTATCTATTGTGTCTCTTACTTTTACTATTGTGTTGATGTCTTTTCAAAATTAAAGCCTTTTCTTAATTAGAAGGTATTGCAAGTGAGTTTAAATAACCGTGTTATCATGTTCAACGATGCATTAATAAAGTTCACAATTCATTGGTTTAGAGAAATACAAATATAACATAAAACGTCTGTCGTTACATTATTATGCATCTGAATATTATCCGTAATTTACAAAATAAGACATATTTGAATTTATTTTTAAGTACATATAATAAGTATGTTACCGAAATTTTCATTCGTTTGATGTGTTTGAGATTTTGATTTTGATGAGAGACTTTCCGTTTTCAAAATCCTTGGAGTCGGTATTTGTGTTATTTTATTTTTTTCTAGCAAGAAACCTAAGTCTAGGCACATCACGATTTACTCGTATAGGGATTTGCGAATAACCATTTGTAAAGATATGTAGAAAAACAGATGAAATCATACAATATTAATTTTATAAAACAAAAAATGGACAAATTGTAATGATTTTCTATTCAAATACGTGAAATAGCCAAAAATAATCCAAAAATAAACGGGAAAACCCGCTTTTATTTCAAAAATATCCACAATAACATTCACAATAAGAAAACCGGAAAACTAAAGAATAGGGACAACAAAGAGAAAACAGGGATTCGAACCTAAACCGACAAGTCTCTACTTCTAACTTGACTCTTTAACTCATTTATCTTAAACCCGCTACTACCAACTTATAACTTTACGAATGTCTATTGTGTATATATATATAAAGATACAAGCCCTGTGTGTCTGTTGTTCCGATGTGTATCATATGTTTCACATTATCATTATAATACTACATGCTAAATTGCAAATATTTATTGATGTTTGACTAGTTTAACATCTACTCTACCTACTAACTTTGTAAATGTTACTCTCTCGTATTAACCAATAATAAAAACGAAATTAAAAATACAAGCATAACTGAACATTCAGTACAATAAGTTTTATTACATAAATCTGATATTGTTAAAGAGCAGATTGTTACCACTCGAAATTTTGTTTTGTCAATCTCTGCTTCGTCTCGGTTGACATTTTGTTTTCCTTTGGTAATACTCTACTTATAATCTTCTCAGTTATGTGTGTTTAATTATATGTCATAATGTTCACGAAGTTACTCCTTTTTAGATAGCCTTCCTGTCTTATGCTCACAGAGATGGATATTGTCATACCTGTTCTTTTGGGGATTTTTCTTTGCATACTCATTAAGAGTGAACTTCAGTGTGGCCATCGTTTGCATGTCGAAATCACCAACAAACAATTCAAGTTTATCGAAGATATTGACTAATAACATTACACAGGATCGATGCGGGGCACTAGAACACACAAATTATACAAATGAGGTGAGAAATTATATTATAAATTCATACACATTGATCCATATTTAGTAGTTTCACATTATACTTAGTCCTGACATCAACAAAACAACAGTTTCGAGGCTTTTTCACCCTATCCCCAGATTGCTCTGTCGTCTGATAGCTTTTTTAGGTCCCACTCTGACTTCAGTCTGCCTTTTTTGGACATGCTGGGACAATGCGACATCAATGACGGAAAATTAGTTATGACAAATAGCAAACGACGAAAACCGCCGGTTGGATTTTAGGCTTTGGTTTGCTTGAAGTATCTGAAGTCACTACTCATGGAATTTGTTCGATATGGTAATAAACACGATATACAGAGTATTGCTTTCATATATTTAAACAACTTGGCTTTACCGATTTTGTTCCATAATAGAAACACAAATGATAAGGGGTATCCATCCATGACACAAAACAGTACATGCACAGCAAAAACCACACAAAAAGAAAGGAACCCATTAGTCAGAGGTTGTTTTGCCCACGGTCCAAACCAGATTTGCTCATTTGTGAAGGCCGTACGGTGACCTATAGTTGTTAACTTCTATGTCATTTGGTCTCTGGTGGAGAGTTATTCCATTGGCAATTATACCACATCTTCTTATTTTCATATTGAAAAGTAGTATACTTTCAGTTATTCAGAATTTGAATTCATTTATTATAATGATAATGTGGAACATATGATATACACATCGGTAAAACAGACACACAGGGCTTGTATCTTTATATATATACAAAATAGACATTCGTAAAGTTATAAGTTGGTAGTAGCGGGTTTAAGATAAATGAGTTAAAGAGTCAAGTTAGAAGTAGAGACTTGTCGGTTTAGGTTCGGATCCCTGTTTTCTCTTTGTTGTCCCTATTCTTTAGTTTTCCGGTTTTCTTATTGTGAATGGTGATGGTCTTAATGTAACACGTTTTGTTTTGCAGTATGATACATTTAACTAGGATGAAAGTCCTTACATCAATGACGTCATTTCCAAACATATGACATCACGCAAAGAACAAATGCACGTAGAAATAGTCAACTTTTCAATTTCCAGTTTTAACAGTTTTGCAAAGGGAACTTACGTACATCAAGCATATGCTTCTTCCATCTGGTTTGCATGGACATGGAACCTACTCAATATGACAAAAAAACTTAAGCGTTGTCTCCTTTGTCAAAAATTCTCAAAATAGGAGACAAAAACTGATAATTTGAAATAGGAAACAAAAGCCGGTTATTTGAAAATGGATTTTTACTGACAGCCCTTCTACCTTTACAAGAAGAAACATATTAAGTGAAATCTACTTCTGTAATATTGATAACAATGTTTTTACTGGTTATTCTACTGCATATGAAATACACATTTTCACATGAGGATCCAATACAAGTACATCAGATAATTTTATAAAATTTGTTTTAAGTTCCAAAGTAAGGTTTACATCTAAAAGTACAAACCCATCCAAATGTGATTGATATCCACAAAATGAGACACCACAGGCATATAAAAACATATTCACTTTTTACCAGGTTATAGTCATTTTTTTCACCAAAAATGTCCTAAGATTATGATCATATTGAGAAAAAAATATAGTTCTCAAACATAAAACATAAAAATTCAGGGTAAAAAAATTCTACTTATTAACAAACACTTTATTCATTAATAAATCAGAATTTAATACCTTATTTTACAGAGAGCTGAATTCGACTGGAATAGGGAAACCAGGTCGTCACTTCTGTCTGCGTTTTTCTATGGGTATTTTGTAACACAAATTCCAGGCGGTTGGTTGGCAGACAAGTTTGGGGGCAGACGTGTGTATGGCACAGCTCTAGCTGTGGCCGGTATAGCGACAGTCTTAATTCCCGTATGTGCTAGAACCCATATCATCCTGTTGTACATATTGCGTGTAATATGTGGTTTAGCAATGGTAAGTTTTATATTTTGCCTATGTTATATAAATGATTCTCTAATTCTTCGTCAATTTATCCCTTTCTGCACCCATTGTATAAAAAAAATTTAATCGTTTGATCTCAGTTCTTCATTGGTTAAAATCCGATTATGACGTCGAATTTTCTTGCTTTCCTCTGAATTTCCTATTGTGACGGCATGAAAAAAGGCGACCATGCCTGATGACGTCACATAGAAAGAACACATCTTTTTGCAGATCATTCGAAAAGGAGGAATAAATTTGCCTTCGTATTGTTTGAAAATCATTAGAGAAACAGATTCCACCACCAAATCTCGTGTAATACGATATTTATCCACTCTCGACAGTTAAATTTTAAATATTCGAGCCTCGCGTTTTAAATTTGAAAATTTAACTGTCTCGAGTAGATAAATATATCGTATCACACTCGATGCAGTGGTAGAATCTATATTTATCACACATTTTGTACTAATATGTACGTTTTTGCATGGCCAATAATAGCCGGAAGTCAATGTTGGTTATTTGCTATCGGGGCCAATATCGATATTAGACCTCGAAATCCATATGGAGCGTCCGAATTTGACTTCCGGTAACCTGTCAATCAAAAACTATTTGTAAACAAGATGTCATCTGAAGCAGCTAGACGATCGGTGCAAGTAAATTCATACAAGAAATGAAAAATGAGAACACAATGAAAAAAAACAATGAAGTCTGTAAAACAATAGAAAGTTATGAATCTGCTGAAGCAGAAAAAAATGTAAAAATCAACAGTGGAAATAGTTATTTGTCATTACTGGACATCACAAAAGTTCCCGTAAAATTTTGACGTCATAATAGAAAATATATGACGCCACAATGGAAAAGTGATTGTTGTATGACATCGAAATTTCAAGCGGAACAGATTCTCGGGTTAAGCGGAACAGATTTCCAAAAAGCGATAAGGTGCATTCTTCCTCAGCATTAATCGGAAATGTAACACTTAATGACTTAATATCTATAACTCTGAGAAATAATATGTTTATTGTTAATTATTTGTTAAACTTTTCACAAAACTTTGTTTACTCACTGTGATACGAATTTTGTTAACTCACTGTGATACATTTTTTTGATTTTTTTTTTTTAATGATTTTTGAATATTTGTTGAAAATATTAAACATAATTTGATATATGCTTTATTTTTTCTCCAGCTATGAAAATATGTGATCAATAGATTATTACATGTCATTTTCCATATTGGCCGTGGTATCAGCCCTCGGCCAATATGGAAAATGACATGTAATAATCTATGATTATCATTTTCAAAATGTGTTTTCGGCTATATATATATCATTCGAGGATTTTATGCGATTACAAATGACAATAACACTGTTTAAATTGTATGCGTCCGAAACGCTTTTCTGTATTGCCTTCGTCATGAACGGTTAAGGGAGCAACCATTTAACTTCAAAGGAGGAGGGGTTCTGGTTTTTTGTCTGAGTCAGTAAGGTTTTTTTTAGTTTTTCGACGCTATCAATCAAATTATTTTTTTTTCAAAATTTAACACTATAAGGAATGGGGAAAATCTGGATTCAGAATAATTTTTTTTGTCATCTGCTTGACCACGATTTTTTTTTTATCAAATTGTTGATCAGAATATTTCATTGAAAAAAACATTACCCCCCTTGAAATTAAATGGTCGTTCCCTAAAGCCAAATAAATGATATCCAGAGATGTATATACGTTCCGAAACACGTAAAGAGCTATATGATCATGGTATAATTTCTGGACTGAGGTATAAACATTTTACAACATGACTAAACATGAAAATAACTCAATAATTAATATCTTCCCTAACCTGCTGCTTGAAAGTCTCTCACCAGATTTATGCTTAGCTTTAAAACTTTTTATAATATAATTTTAAAATTCTGACTGGTTACACCAGAATAAAGGTATAATTAATGGATTATATGGAAATACAAATTAACATAAAGAGCACATGGCTACCTTCGATAATTTTCAGGAGAAATGAACACAATAATCAGGTCCGTTCTTTCTTAAATTGTATTCTATGATTTTTTGAAAGGCTTTATCTCAGACTATATTTATATTTCTTTTATTTCATTCACAAAAAATCATAAAACAAAATATTATAGGGAACATGCTCGCCTTCAGCCACATCAATGTGGGGAAGATGGGGTCCTCGTCTGGAACGTACAAAGTTAACAGCCTCACATCAAGTCGGTAAGTGTCCTTAGTCAGACTTATTATTGGTTATATTTACGTATTATCGTATATTTGTTTACAATGAAACTTACATATCTACCAAAGACATATGATAAGACAAAATAATAATAGAAATACTTAATTTGTTTAAGGTTTTCCTACCAACCCCATTTGTATGCCTGAAAATGCTTACCCGTACGTTTTTATAGGAACATTTGGTAGTGAATCGTGACAAAATTGCAGGGGGTCCCATATATTCGACGTAAAAAAAATATAAGCAAAAAAAGATAAACTTTTGCGGAGTAAATATACACTATACATGTTTTGTACATTTTTTATCGTCATGATCGTACGTATCATTTAAATCGATTTTATGATCGCATGTGTTTGTTATTCTATGTTCATTTGTAATTGATTAATCGATTATTTTTATAGATTTTGAGGTATAAGTGTTTAGAGCTTGACAGTTTATTTAGATGACATGGCTGTCTATTGTTGAAGACTTTTGCCAAACTTTAGATCTCTTTTGGTCTTGTTGCAGTGTAGTTGCTGTCACGTTTACCCCATATCTATTTTTTTCATTCATGCAAGATTTAAATCGTACCTTTTTAAATCTCTGCGGAAATAAGAGGACGAACTAGTGAAAACAAGTCGTTTTCCAACTTCTTCCAAATATGTATAAATGACCGACATAATTGAAGAAGAAAAAATGATAATTTGTACATGTCAATTCAATGGTTAATTGTTGTTTGATTAACGTCCAGTAACACTTTTTTAATACCTGTTCAGGACGAGAAAAAACACAATTAGTGAATATATGAAATAAGTACGTACTGCAAAGTTGGTCGAATGTGATGGAGGTCTAAAATTTGAACTGCTGCGGGAACAGTCATTATGACAGTATAAGTGTCGAAACTTCATCAAAAATTTTTTAAACCATTTACATTGTATATTCGTGTTTTATATAAATTATGTTAAAGAATATTTAACAAATAAACAAAATGTGTGTAAAGTTACAACGTTAATTTGTTTTCAGGTTCTATGTTAGGCACTGTAGTTACATTTTCTGCGTCTGGTGTATTATGTGAATCAGGATTTGACAACGGATGGGGTTCCATTTTCTATTTGACAGGTAAATTTTAAGGTTAACCCCTTTTTAGTTTGCTGTTCGGTGCGAGCCAAGGCTCCGTGTTGAAGGCCGTACTTTGACCTATAATGTTTACTTTTACAAATTGTGACTTGGATGGAGAGTTGTCTCATTGGCACTCATACCATATCTTCTTATATCTACTAACACATTAAATAAACGACCGTCAAATCGCCAACTGACAGCGTCAACTCTTCAACTACAGTACTGTTATTTTGATTGTCATATACGACACCACCTTTAGTAAGAAGGAAAAAACACTTTAACGAAGTTTATGTATCACGTAAGACGTACTTTTTTTTTATGTAATTGTCACGTATGTGTACGCATGAAAATTTCCATAAACTTATTTTAAGAATTTCGTTTCTTTCCATATATTTTTTATTTGCGACATTTTTGAGTTGACAGTCGAATACACATTACTTCATACAGTTTCTTATGATAACGGCTGCTTAAATCGGATTTTTTTTCAACACGAATTCATTGAATACCTTGAACAATTGTTTTGGGTTCTAAACATACACGAATTCATTGAATACCTTGAACAATTGTTTTGGGTTCTAAACATCCAGCGACATGTTGTGTTGATTAGACAAATAGGGATGTCACAATATAGGAAAAGAGGACGGGACTGTGGTTACGACAATTGAAACATACCCATGGTAATCTGTGACACATCATATAACGGTTAACTAACTCGTGATGGCTACCGTATAACTTTCGAAGGAATGATTTCAATAATTGGAACCCTTGGTTAAATAGCTCCTTTTTAAGAAGCAACCCTCTATCAGGGAAATCATGGTAGGATTCAAGATACAATATATTTTATTAGCCAATCATGGCACCCATTGCTGAGCATAGTAGTTATTCATAAAACGATTCTATGATTACAGAATTCCATCTCTTTCGCGTATACATTTTAAATAGTCCATTTAGCTTAGTGTTAACTTAAAAGCCACAAAATATAGACTGAAAGATTTATATGAAAATTATAATTGTATGTACGCGGACCGTGAAGAGAACACCAAAATTTATTGTGACGTAAACACAACATTTTGAATACGAAATATATTAACAAAATTAGGATATTATGATGTAGATTTATATGATTTTACATAACACGCGTGTATTTGTACGCCACCATAAATCTTGTGTATAATTGCATCCATATACTATCATTTCCATGATTGGAGGATAAATAATTATATATGAAATTCATGTTGTGTGACATCAAAAATAATAGTATTAAAAATTAGCTCTTTCACGGTTTAATTTGCCTGGCCGTTGGTATTTACAAAGTCAACGAAACTTGATATAATTGATATCTAAAGCTATACAATTTAGTAATTTTTAATGATACTTTATATTTCATTTTAGTAAGGTTGTTGTGTTAATTGTATATTTTTAAGGTGGTTTGACTTTGATCTGGGTTTTTCTGTGGTTTTTCCTCACCCGAGACACCCCGAATGATCATCCAAGAATCACCGTAATAGAAAGGAATTACATTGTCACAAATATTGAATATAATGCTAATAAAAGGGTGAGTTGTAAAATAAAATGCTAGACATGTAGAATGCACAACATGATAGATATTAAAAAGAACATGAGATATACATGTTCAATGTAGCAAGTCTCAACCACATCACTCTTACGACCTCGTCTACATCATGCGCTACACATTCTACGATGTAACATAATAAGACAATAATTTGGAAGTGTAATTTTATGTAGTTTTCGTCAAAGTTTGGCATAAATCCTGATGGCGTGAAGTTGAGATTGCTATAGAAATGGAATATCTCGTGCAATTCTCATACACGCGATTTTTAACATTGCAAATCTTTGGTTTTTATATCTCCGAGAGGAGGTAAAAATAGAAAAGATACACTGAAATATCCTCGACAATGATCGTGTAACGATACTTAAAGTTTGTAGATCTCAAGTTCAAATGATTATCTCTGACAAAATGTAATAATTACGTAAGATTATAGACAAATTATACATTGTACATTTTATACAATGTGACTTGGTTGGAGAGTTGTCTAATTGGCACTCATACCACATCTTCTTATTTATATTAACATAATGTGTCTCTAGTTAAGTGAATGCAAAATAAACAAGTATTCTAATCTTGCATGGTTAAACCTGGGACTATTAGACTAATCAATATTTTATGTCCCAGGTTAAACCTATTACTATTTTATGTTAAATTGAAGTGAATACAATGTTCGTATTTACCACAATACTACGCTAAATAATGGCTCTGAAACTCATATATTTATTTCTAATTATAATATTTTAATATCTTATATCCTTTCTATTCATCAGGTTACAGAGAATTAATCTAAGTTTTTTTCTTTGATTTTGCTACTTGCAGACAGGAAAGGTTCCCTGGGTTGCCATGGCGAAATCTGTACCACTGTGGGCAATAATTATCGGACATACATGTAGTAACTGGGGAATATATACCATATGGACAAGCCTTCCTGAATTTATGAAGCATGTCTTAAAATTTGACATAAAAGCTGTAAGACTTTTGTGCATTATTTTTTCTTCTCGCTGATTGTATGTAGTTCAAGTTCAAATTGATTGTAAGGCGATTTTGTATCTGAAATAAATGGATAAGATACGAGATATACAATATGAATACTATAACTGTTCTTTACCTTTGATATTATATAAATAACACATAGCTGAGAGGGTGATAGAGCAGATTGTTACCCCGAGAAAACATTGTCAACTGAGGCGAAGCCAAGGTTGACAATGTCTTTTCGAGGCGTAACAATCTGCTCTGTCACCCTCTCAGATATGTGTTATTTAATTTATTATACTGAATGTTCTGTTATTAATGTCTATTAAATTTCAAATTCAAAGTAATAAACTATGATGTCTTGTACATAACAACCATCCGTATTTAATAAAGCGCACACTTGATCAAGCGTCTCCGTGAAAGGTAATAGAGTATTTACCATACTAGGATAGAGTAAATTGTCTCCCTGGTATCAACCAATCAAAATCTGGCATTTTGACATGAAGTATAATAAATAATATTATTCTACACCCGACAAGGAGTGGAGCTAAATTGCATGCACCTTGTTTGTCTGTTCTTTCCTTCTGTTCATCCAACAAATATTTCCGTTGCATTTTCTCGGGTACTATGTTATTATTAACATAAAGACTACATGTTTGGTCAGAAGCTTATGCGTGATGAGTTGTAATGTGTGACCACTTTTTTTTAGATCGTTCAAACACTAACTTCTGTTTACCTACACTTTCATTGTTTAATAGGTTGAATGAACTTTAAAAAAACGTGTGTCACACTCGTCTCAAGTACTTCTAAACAGTATTGCTTCATATTTTGTCAGTAGCAGTGATGAGTTATAAAGTGTGAGTGTTTTTCGGATCTGTAAGACACCTACTCCATTTTTTCCTATACATAGAATTCAGAATAGAAACGTGTACTTTAAATTACGAGTAGGGTATGCTTATCACGACCATGCATCCAGTCTTGTGTGTATTATAATTGGTTCGCACATCAGGGTTTTCATTTTTGCCAAATACATATTCTTTTATTTTGCAGAATGGTGCACTATCTGCAATACCTTATATATGTGCTGCCTTCATGGCTTTTGCAACAGCACATATAGCAGATTTCTTGAGAAGTAGAAAAATTTTAACAACAACACAAACTAGACGATCTTTTCAGACGGCAGGTAGGTTAAATGTCGGATTATCAATATAAATATACAGCTGTCTCTTAAACGAGGTTGAATGTAAAACTTCTGAAACAAATTTCATTGGTTGAAACGAATATGCGTTCAGGACCAGTAGTAGTACTATACTATCAAGTAGAAGCTAGCTTTATAAAGATTGAATCAGGAAAAAGATATCAGATCACATAAAGAACACAAACAATAATCGAGAATTGACAATATTTACCGAGCCTCGGCGGCCGAATTGTCTAAGTATTCTATCTTAATTTATCACTATTTTGTCAACTCTGATGTGAGTTTGAACCGCGGTCGTGGCGAGGTGTGTTTGACTTCGATCTTAATTGACAAAGATTGCAAATTTTCCTGTTGTAGATGGATGGTTCTCTCTGGGTATTCAAGCTTCCTCGAACCATTGAAACTGGCCGCAATTGTATAGCCAAGGTCGCTGATCGCGTCGTAAAACACAGATAAACAAACTCACAAACAATGATTTGCAGTAAAAATGTGGAAGGAGTAGAAAAATATCAATTTTACATTGTATTGCCCCTAAGACTTCCTTAGTTCTCAGATATCTTGTTTCATAGGAATGCTTAAGCTTTACGGAATTTGATTTAATAATTTGATTTTTGAGATATTAAATTCCCCTTTAGATACAATTAAGATTGACTTAAAGAAATATGCTCTCATATGAGTCTTAATTATTTCTTTCTTTGAAAAAAATGGTCTCTTTAACAAATTAATCCCATTTTCATATACAACTGAGAATATTATACAAATTATATATATTATGCAACTGTTTTTAAAATGCTGTAGGAAAGATTTATCCTTGGCAATATGACAAATGAATTCAAATTTCAAATGATTTTTTCAGCATTTATTGGAGCAGGGATATTTCTAATAGCAACTGGCTTTGTAGAATGTGAGAAACGTGGACTTGCCGTAGTGTTTTTATGTTTAGCATTATTGTTTACTGGTTTTGAGCGGGCTGGTTATGCTGTTAATCATATAGACATCGCTCCTAAGTATGTACATAATCCGATTTTCTCGTATGTTACTAATCTAAAATCCACAAACAATCTTAAATTGAAGTTAACTACTTCCTGTTATTTCAAAGAAATAAATGTATGATGTTCTATATCTTTTTTATAATTGTACAATTATATGAAAAAATAAGGAGATGTATAATTTCTCAATTTCGTTAGTATAAGGAGAAATTGTTGTATTAACGGTACTAGCGTATAGTTTTAGAAGTTTACGTCACTATACTTGCTGGGCTATCGGCAATACTATATATATTGTATTCATTCGTGCCTTCATAGAATAATAGATATCAACGTATAGGGTATATGTGGTGTAATTGCCAATGCGACAACTATCCATCAAATTCCAAATTACGTGGGGTTAAGCAAATATACGGTATAGTCAGCGTTAAAGGCCCCAACATGACAAAATATGAAACAATTCAAACGAAAAAAACATCATCGTGATTTATGACGAAACAATGAACGAAAAACAAATAATTTATTTGATGAAGAACAGGAACAAAGTCAACCACTGAATAAGAGGCTCCTGGCGGTGGACAAGCACAGATAAAAAGTGGCGAAGTTAAACATGTTTATGAAAGATTAACCCTCCGCTAGTCTACGACAGTAGTGAAACAGTACAAGATAAGAATAAACTGTACAAATCAGTTGAAAAAGGCTTCAGTTAGATTGGCACGAAGCTCATAAAACAACTAACATAAGGATAAAAGACAAAAAGTACTGATCTATGAGTACTCGTTGTTACTGAAATCTAGTTAAAAGCCAGTATCAACTAATGAATCATTTTCTATCAGATTAAAGTATCAATCAGTACACATACAACGGATTTAACGAAAGACGCCATAAACAGTCGGACAAAGGCACGACCTTGATTAAAGCATTTAATAGTTAGCTGTTTGGGTTGTCTAAATTGATAGATTATGGAAACAGTAATATTTTAACAAAGAGTGTTGAACTTTTTTTTATGCCCCCGCCGTAGCGGAGGGGGCATTAAGTTTTTCCCTTGTCCGTCTGTACGTACGTTCGTACGTACGTCCCGAAATTGGTTTCCGTTCTCTAACTTGAGTTTGCCTCAACCAAATGTTATGAAACTTATACACAATGCTTATTACCACCAAACACAGATCAAGTTTGAATTTTGGTGGCGTCACTGTAACCGATCTAGAGTTATGCCCCTTTATAAAAGGAAATATTGCAAAATTTTTAGTTTCCGTTCTCTAACTTAAGTTTGCCTCAACCAAATGTTATGAAACTTATACACAATGCTTATTACCACAAAACACAGATCAAGTTTAAATTTTGGTGGTGTCACTTTAACCGATCTAGAGTTATGCCCCTTTATAAAAGGAAAAATTGCAAAAATTTTGATTTTCTTCTAAATATCAAGTTTATATAATATATTTTTAAAATTGGAGTTATCTTCCTTTGACCATGATTATAGTTGAATCAACTACAATCAATGCTTTATACAATGCAATGTTTAATTTTGACTTCCACTGATAAAACACAGATCAAGTTGAATTTGGGTAGTGTCACTTTAACCATTATTGAGTTATGCCCCTTTATAAATAGAAAGATTGCAAAATTTTTAAGTTTCCATTCTGTAACTGAAGTTTTCCCCAGCCAAACATTATGAAACCTATACACAATATTCATTACCACAAAACTCAGTAAGGATCAAGTTCAATTTTTTTGTTTCAGTTCTCTAACTTGAGTTTGCCTCAACCAAATGTTATGAAACTTATACACAATGCTTATTACTACATAATACAGATTAAGTACGAAATTAGGTGGCAACACTTTTACCATTCTAGAGTTATGTCCCTTTATAAACATAAAAATTGCTGAATTTTTTAGTTTGTCTCAACCAAATGTTGTAAAACTTATACACAACCGTTCTAGAGTTGTGCGTGTTTACAAATAGAAAAATTACTGAATTTTTAGTTTCTGTTCTCTACTTAAGTTAGCCTCAACCAAATGTTATGAGACATACACACAATGCTTATTACCACAAAACTCAGATCAAGCTCAAATTTGGGTTGCGTCACTTTTACCGTTCTTCAGTTATGTCCCTTTATAACTATATGATATGCAAGCGGGGGCATCATCTGTGTCCACATGTGGACACTATCCACATTTATTTTTTAAATAAAGAATAAAGTTATGTGCTATGATTGCTAATGTCTCACTATCCACCAGAGACCAACGGACGATGACACATCTTTAACGATACTTTGTCTTTAAAACAGAAAAAAAATAATCCAACAATATATTTATGATCATGGTAAAAAAGCGTACATATAGCCGTCATTGTTTGGCTCTGTAGATTATGTTTTCCTCTCTAATGAAAGATATAAATATTAATATGTATTTATTGGTATAAAATGTGTAACATTATTTCAGGTATGGAGGTATATTGTATGGTATAACTAATACTATAGCAACTATACCTGGTATGGTTGCACCTGTTATAGCTGGTGAACTGACCCCAAATGTAAGTCTAGCTTATTGATTGATTGTTGGTGTTGAACCACTTTTTTATATCAAATTAGGATATATCATAACGGCCAGTTTTTATTGGTGAAGAAAGCCGAAGTGCCCGGAGAGAACCACCGACCTTCGGCATGTAAACTTGCAATCTTAGCAAATTAAGAAAGGAATCGAACGTACCTTGCCATGAGCGAGGTTCGAATTACAACCTCATTACGATCAAAAGGTTATTGATTACTGTAGACCAACTACAAGCTGTGAAAGATGTACGAATACGAATCCATATCCGGTCGGAATGAGGAAGTAAAATAAGATGCCTTGTGAAGGGAATGTTCAAACTTAATGCCATTAAAGAACCTTTGCAATAAATCTGAGGAGTCTGTAGGTGACCTATTGCAAGGCCATATCTAACATCAAGTGCTGGTCAAAAGTCTGGTCTTCACTCGGGTAGATTCCAATTTGTCGAACCTACCATTTGGATATATTGGATATTTGTTCTTGTCCTAAATATGCATGAAATATTTTCCACTGGATATTAGGCAAACAACAATTTGCCACTTTTATAGAATTACGCACTGTAATTGCAGTCCATGTATCAGCCAATGACTACTGAATTGGAATAATACAAATTTATATTTTAATTATTCTGTAGTAACTGCAAGATATATTATGTTAGCTGTATAGTCATTGTGCATTTAATGCATCGTTTATGTATACAAACAACTGTTTGTAGTTATATTCAATAACAAAATTTGAGTAAATTCCAAAAATGTGAATATGCTGGCAGTGGCGGATCCAGAACTTTTCATAAGGGGGGGGGGGGGGGAGGGGGGCCCGCTCCAGTCATGCCTCAGTGATTCCCTATATAATCAACCAAATTTTTCCCACGAATTGGCCCCAAAAATTACTAGTGTAAAACCATTCAAACGGGAAAACCAACGGTCTAATCTATATAAAAAACGAGAAACGAGAAACACTTATGAACCACATCAACAAACGCCAACTACTGTACATCAGATTCCTGACTTAGGACAGGTGCAAACAATTGCAGCGGGTTTAAACGTTTTAATGGTACCGTAGGTATGTTATCTGCATTTTCAATACTTTATGAGGACAATTAAGGAATAACATAACTGTAGTTATCATATGGAGTTATCACCGTCAATTTTAGTATTTAAGGTTGCAAACGCAGTTTTGTTGATTCGCGGCTCACTCCTTAGTTGCCGCATGTCAGTTCTGGATTTTACGCCAGTTTTAACCATGAACAAATTGTTGCATTTAAATTTCATTATAATATTTCTTTCTATTCTAGGATACCTCTGAAGAATGGAGGAATGTATTTTATGTCACAGCAGCATTTTATGTACTTGGTGCTATTATATATTGTTGTATAGCCAGAGGTGAAATTCAGCCTTGGGCATTAGATAAGGAAAATCTTAGAGAAACCGAAGTGTTTATTTAGAAAAGCTGTAACAGCTAGGGATTTTCCTTACAAATTTGTATTTTGTTGATATATTTTATTAAAGAGTTTGTTTGATTTTAATATTTTAATGCTATTCACAAAATGTAGAACATGCAGTGTATCAAATGCAAAAAAAAAGAACAGAGAATAATGGGATACTAAATTATAAAAAAATCGAGAATTATGGGCCAAAAAAATTTGGAAAAAAATAAGAATAGAGAACAAAAATGGCCTAGAAAATTAGAGAATATAGAGAATGACCCCTTTTCAATGAAGAGCAATTCATGGACAGAAGTTTACCAAAATATGTTAAGCAAATAAAGACTTTATTAATTTGTTCGTTCGACGCGCTTTGTTGGGGATATCTTCATTAGAACCGCTCAAATCCTAAAATTTGAAAGTCAAGGATGTATAAATATCTTATTACGTTGAGGGGTATATGACCAAAAGGGACATAAAAAGATTACAGAGGTATTATGTTCAAGTTAAATTATTGCAGAGCCCTTTTAAGAAATAAAATAATTCAGGTATACCGTCAAGTTCATATAATATCTAAGACCTTTTTCCATGAATGAACAAGAATGTGTCCATAGTACACTGATGCCCCACTCGCACTATCATTTTCTATATTCAGTGGACCGTGAAATTGGGGTCAAAATTCTTATTTGGCATTACAATTAGACAGATCATATCATAGGGAACATGTGTACTAAGTTTCAAATTGATTGGACTTCAACTTCATCAAAAACTACCTTGACCAAAAACTTTAACCTGAAGCGGGACAGTCGGACGGACGAACGAACGGACGCACAGACCAAAAAACATAAAGTCCCTACTACTATCGTAGGTGGAGCATAATAAAGATGTAATCTTTGTACGACTACATTTCTTTTCTATGCATATGGGTACATACATGTATATGGGTTTGTCATCGTTTTTGCTGTCCGTCTGTATGTAGACTCTATGGTTTTGCAGTAATCTTGATTAAATCTCTCAAAAATTTGAGTGCAATGTTCCTTGGCACAGATCAAATGCAGGTATTATAAATTGTGGCCTCCATTTCTGAAAAAGGGTGATTTAATCAATATATTACCTACATGCACTTTGATGTTAAGCATCTATATCATCGGATGAAATATGACGTGCAATGATAATGATCAACTTCATAAAAAAGGGAGTAGATAATTTTTTGGAATCGGCGAATAAAAAACAAAAAAATAATGTCTATGAATGCTCTTCAGGTAATCTTCCGCGACTGTCAAGCTTTACAATAAGAAACCTTGTTTTCGAGTAAAACATTTCGAAATATCTATTCATTGTATATCAACACGGCGGTATAAGCAGTCACAAGCACACAATTTGATTAAAATCATATGGTTTTTTTTTTTGTGGCTTCGAATGCAACGTTTTTATACTATGACAAACAAACAGCTGATTTTTATTAGATTGAATTGCTAAAATGCTTGATTAGCATCTTTTACACACCGAGAAGAACTCTTATCATAATAAGTGTTAGCCAAGTTTGAATTCAAAGAAAGTCGTGCTTCGGTCTCTAAAATATTGGAAAAAATGTACCGAACTATAATAATCCTTTGGCGACTTCTCATTAAATTATTGGCTTCTCGTTATCTTAATAATTGGACACGAAATGTCCGAGAAACGAGTTTTAAATTTGTCATGCCAGGGGCTTGGTTAGAGATGTTATTACTTTGACGCAAACGAATGATGTTAATCAGGAATGTTTACTACGTACAATAAAGTCTTTGACTTTAAAATATAATAATATAAGTATGACTGTTAGCATTTTTTTCCGTCGAGAAATAAATACATTAATTTGCTGTCTACAAATTAAAAGAGGATCAAAAACATCCTGAAGTCAATTTTAAAATTGCAAAAATTAAGAATTCAAATAATTCAAAATTATAAATTGCAATTGAAGTATGCCGCTTACTTTTAAATTCCGCAATAAGCCATTGCCACTTATAGGAGGATTGATTCAACACCTGCATATCAATGTTGAACTTTGTGAATCATATTTAATGTTCAAACATGCTTATGTGTTATGCCACCAACCTATCGGAATATAATTGTGTAACTATTGATAAATAAAAAGATAATAAACGTAAGATTGATAGTAAGAAAAAAATAGTTTGTGGTAAATCCATAAATTAAATCAATGCTCCATATAGATAGATAGATATTTCTAATTTAAAGCACAACTTGGTGCATGTATATAACAATTTTAAACACATGTATGTAGTTAATAAACATGTATATCTATACCAACCAGCCCTTAGAGGCTTATGATGCGCTGTCGTTTATCTACGAAATATTATATAAATTATTAAATAAATTTCAAAGTCATTAATCCTTATATATATACATGAACTTGCTACTTTGGTTTAGGGGAAGAGGGGTGTATGTTTGCATAATTTAGCAAAATATATGACATTTTTCTGAAAAATTAACATTGGCGCCTTCACTCTCCAACAAATATTTTAGCTGTATTATTTTTAATATACCATATTGTTTACTTTTAACCAAAATTTCAATGGGAGAGACGTGGCGCCACATCTAAACTAATGAAAAAAAGTTTTAAAAAAAAGGTGACACATTTCTAGATAAATGAACCAAAATGAAATCTGTTCTATTTCAGTCTTATATATTGACTACTATGAAGCAAATATACAATTTTATTATTATACTTTCCAAAATAATACATTTAGCAATACGTTAGATTAAAAAAACAATTGCAGTTTAAAAAATGCACCCTTAAAGGCCCGTTTATTTGGGGTTACTGGCTCCACTCCTTTATAGAGGCAAATCACTAACTTCTGAGGGGATGACTAACTTATAAAGACTTATGGATCAAATAAACATTACAAATATCAATAGAATGATCAACTTCATGAAAAATGTTTGATATAATTTTGTTCTTGTTTGACAACCTTTTGGTAACAAAATTCTGAATTGTAATGAACGAGACGTGGCAATTCCCCTTTTTGCAATATTCTAATAGACACCACATAACTTCCTTGTTCATTAATCTAAATGAAAACCACATTATATGATTGGGTTGATATTCATTGAAAAAAGTACAATATTTCATTATTAAAATGTACGTTCCGAATCCCTGGTCGGGATTTTGATTAATCTAATTAGGTTTAAAGACTTTGCTTTCCGGTTACAAGACTTTATTGAATATTTTTTTTTCGCTATGATATCAAATATGTGGAGGCTCAAATAAAACAAAATACAAACAAAAAAAAAGCTTTACATGATAAAGTTTAGATTATGGCTTTTATATATATAACACAAGTTTCTGAATACTTTGAAGTACAAGTTTTAGCTTTCTAAAAAAACGTTAGAGTGCTTCGCTTTATAATAATTTAAGGAAAGATGTGGTTTAAGTGGTTGTTTAAGTACGAAACAGGTGTTTTTTTTATCCCCTTTGTGAATATACTCATAAGTGTGGTCTTCTAAGCCCGTCTTAGATGGGTGTATTGTGGTATACTACATGTAGTTTGTCCACGAATACTTCCTACTAAAACTTAAATTTGCTTTAAACAATTCCTACGAAACTAAACGGAACATACGGATTGATAGACGAAACTTCCTTTTGATTTTAAAATTCTTATGTGTCGTCATTCCAGAGATACCTTTTGATTTTGAAAATTTATGATTTGTCATTCCACAATTATGGTAATATTCTACATGGCATACTCTAGCTCTAGAATGTTTGGATTAACTACAAACTTGACATTATTGTTGTTATTGGCGAATCTAGACTCGCGTTGACTTTGAAATTTTATAGTTTGTCGTTCAATAAAGTTATGGGACTTTTAACAGTCAATTTTGACGCAATATTTATTTTCATATGGATATCCTCGACGTGCATGTTTTCTCACACAGTAATGTGACCAAGTTGTTATTAGATGCATAAATATTTCAGATCTTCTCACAATAATGCTAATTCACAATTATAACATGGAAAACACGTATTCTGACAATTTTCTTGAATATCACTGGTAACTATATATATTTAAAGTGTTGGTGTATATGCATATATAGTCAGATGAACACTCAGAAATTTGTTTTATCTTTGTCCCTCTTCTAATTTTGCAACACGAATGGACTCGAGTCACTCGACATTATATAGCAATGTAAACCAGTAAAGATAAAATTATTCATTGATCGGGTATCAGTTCGGATCTTGAATACCCATACTGTAACTATGTTCGTATTTAATATCTTCTCATGTCCGGGACATGTTTCCAGTTATATATCTCATTCTAGCCAATAAATCTTTACCACATCAACAGACAGCTAATGAGAACCGATATTTGTACGTAATATTTTCAAGGTGGCACGAATATGGTATAAAACTAATAGCTTCGCACCGTGATGCGAAGCAAAAACAACAACTTCGACTTAACTGCTTAATTGAATGAGCCTTTTTTTCGAGAATACTAAAAATGTGGATCAAGCAAAACTAAATAACTAAAGGAAAATTACAAAGTAAAGATAAAAGACCACAAAAGTATCTTCGCCAACGGAAGTTGAAGCTTGGTATCCATATATGAAAATTTACACGTTTTTTTTTTGTTTGTAATAGTCACAATCCCGTCTTTGTTTGTTTATATCTCTTCATCGAAAAAAAAATCACAGTATTTTATGTATATGTCATTTACAAAATGACGGGTACCATTTTCCAAGTAAAAACTACTTCTGTCTGAGTTCATCTTCGGTTTTGATTGAGTTCTTGTTGCATATTCATCACTTTTTTGCTTAAAGTTTTTGAGGACATTGATATTGTGTCAGTCCTTCTTCTATACTGGCTTTTGACTGAGTATCCTCTTTTAACACAAATATTAATAAATTAACTTAAAATTGACAAAACAAATTATATTTGTCATAACAAGTGTCATTGTTAAAGCAGTAAACTAACTATTGATACTTTCGGTAACTAACACCCCGAAAACAAAGGTATTGCACCAATTAAAAAGTACGAACATTCTTTGATACAATTAGGTATGCTTAAACTTTTTTGATTGTAATTGTTGTTGTATGCCTAGCAATTACATCGCCGGGCATATAGTTTGACAAATGTCTATCCTTCCGTTCTTCTGAAAAATCCGACATTTGTCAATTTTCAGTTATCCTGATTTTTGGTACGTTAGTGTTAACGAAGACATACAGTTCGAGTTTGTGTTACAGTTGACAGACTATGCCGAAATATGACAAACAAAATTATATGAAAATTGTACTTGCTGAGCTTTTTTGTATCCTACTGATAGTTAGATTTTTTTAATCCATTTTATTAAGGTTTGTTTATTCCCAGAGACAAGGTGTTTAATAAAATCTTGAGAAAGCAGACCCAGATTATGATTAGCATCTAGATTGGCATTAAACACGAATTTATATATTTTTCTTATTATCTGAATTAAACCGGCGAATTTGTAAAAAAAGTTCCCAATTATTTCAATGATTTAAATTGTAACTAATTTCACGAATTCACTGTGACATATGTACACGTACCGTAAATGTTTGTATATTTTGTTCAACAAATTTTGTTTTATTAAACATTTTATTCCCCATTCCGAACGTACGTGACCCACTTAAGGAAGGGTTTTACTGCCGGACGGTAAAGCCCAGGAATGACCATATTTCTATACCACAGACAACAAGAGTCCACCGGAAAAAAACATAAGTAATGCTAGGATCTGTTACATAATGCATTTGTAATGTGTAGCAGATCACAGTTCAAATTGGGTAATCTTTCGTTTACCAGGGAAAATAATCTTTATTGACAAAAAAAAATCATTGTTTATATGTTATGTATATGAGGTAGGTTTAGATAGTTAGGTAAAAAAGTATAACAAAAATATCAAACTCCAAAGTTATTTGAAAAAAAGGGAAGTCCATAACAAATGACAAAATTAAACGTTTCCAACCAACGGATCGAGTGAAAAACAACTGTTATATTCCTGACTTGATACAGGCATTTCCTGAAGAAAATGGTGGGTTAAACCTGGTTTTATAGCTATGCAAACCTCTCATTTGTATGACAGTTGTTTATAGTATAAAGTATAAGTTGTCGATTTTCCGGACACATAGATGATACCCTGGAATCCTGCTGCCATGTTGAAAATCCTGCTTTAATGTCGTTGTAAGACGTAGTTAGCCTACGCACTCAATGTGTAATAACTTTTCTTGACCATACAACTTTGTCATTCAATTGAATGTAACCGATTTCATTCCATAACAATTCTAATTTGATACATGTGGGTTTGGATAATGGGATATTCATTCTGTATTCGTAAGCATTTTTTCTCCATTTTTTTCAGTTATTGTCTATTTCATTGTATTTCAGCACCATATTGTACTCTACCCTTTTTTTTTTGGCCCGTTTTTCTGTATTTTTATTTATTAGACAATTATTTTTTATTCTGTAAACGCCATTCAGAACCAGATGATCCTCGTACATTGTACACGTTTGTTTTTTTTGAAATCGAAAGAGCCAAACAGTTAACTTCATTTATAAACCAAAAAAACTCCAGATTCAGCCAGTGCCTGTCAACTTGAAGACACATAGATAGCCTTAGTCTTCCAATGATTATTTCCACAAGTATTTTACATTTTGCTTCCGACGGATTTTTATTTATCTAAAGCTGTGCAAAAAGTTAATTTTGAGTAGAAATCTATTTAAAACTGCACTATAATAACTCTGCTCACTCCTTCATTCTACAGAAATAATACCCTTTCCGCCATATCACCAATTTTTTTTTTGTAAACACCTTGTCCTTCCCTAACTTATCTTACATCCACCACCGATGTGTATCAACAATGTGAATCATCGCAACCGGAAATTGTCCCCTACGAAGCCAATAGAAAAGACAACTACAAGATTTTCTTTCATTTAGACCATAATGATTTCTATCGATTTAATAAGGTAAACGCGTATGAAATGATTTTCTTAGATATGGTACTTTAATTTTATATGCAGATAAATACCAAACACTGACAAGATTTTGTGTTCTTCTAACAAATTGTGCACCCATTACATAAAAAGTTATAGTTCGTTCGTCTTCCATCGCCCCGCAAATTGGGAATTAACTGTTATTCAATATTTATCCAGATGAGTTTTAAGCATATGACAATGTGACTTCATATTGTCTGAAATTCTCTTTAAAACATAATTTTTGGAAAGGATATTTGTCAAAACAGTATTTGTTTATTGTACGGTGAATTGCACGGCGGTTTACGTCGTATAGCAGAGTAACAAGTTATTTTCTGTAAGACATCTTGCAAATAACTGCAATTTGAACATGAGTTAAATCACTATCATTGATAATAGCAAGGGGATTTATCGGGTTAGCAACTTTCCAATATACGAAATGTACAATCTGATTAAATACATATCATCTGTCCAAGCTTTGCAAACAATGATTTGAAAAGGCGTCGTTTTACTTACTGGATCCTCTGGCTTTGTGGAATTAATACGCACTTTAGAAAACTGGAAGCCCAAATGTCATTGGCTGATGTAATAATTACCAGAATAGAAAGTAAAATGGAGTGTTGATATATCAAAGCTTGGACACAGGATAATTATGTATTTTAACCTATAGGATCTTATAGTACATGTATATCATCCGTTAGCAGATTAAAATTTTGTAATGATTTTCCTGAAATGTGTCGCCGGATTAATTGTCAGCATGCTATACCTTGGACACGTTTTCAGTTCCATTGCTCATCAACTTTCTGTTTGCCAAATTTTTAAAACGGAGGTATTATTTGTGAGCAGTAACTCACAACTATACTTGTTGTTAATGTGTTCTCCTCCTGTACATGCAGGAAACATTTGCCCCATGACATTAAGCAAACAACAAGCAATCAATGTAGTAATCAACTAGTCTGTCCGTCTGTCATAAATATTTTATGTTCTCTAACTTTCAAACTCCTTGGAGTTCATTAATGAAATTTGATATTTGATTATAAACCACTACTTGTTCGTATCTCGCTTACGTGGATTATACAGTCATTGTCATGTCAAAAAAACTAAGTTAAACTTATTAACCCCTGTGTATATGTACAAAATTCGCTCTATTACTATCAGACCCCTTACAGTGAGTGATGAAACTTGGAAAGATAGTTAAAACTTATTAGATGGTATGTTGCATACAAGGCAGAAAATTATACAGTGAGAGTCATGGTAAAGAAATTAGTTCAACTTATCCATTCCTTTGCTTATTGTACAAAAATGGTTTCAGGTCTCTAAATTAACTTCGTGCAGTTTCGGGACAAATTAGGTTACCATCTAAAGAGCCAATTTTAGAATGTCTCTTTCACTTTTACTTTACAAAAACACAAACTCATAGTTCAATGTTTTCCCTCTTTCCCATATGTATGGTTTTATGAAACAGCCCTCACAATTCCTTTCTTAATTATACTATATGATTACAATCTAATTTTTTTAAATGGTGCAATAACAAAAACTATAAATAAGATGTACATTTTATTTAAATCATGAAAACAATTATCAACAAAAATACTGAACTCAAAGATAAATTCAAAAAGGGTGAAGTTCACAAAACCTTATAAAACCAAACGTTATACTATATCAACCAACGTAACGTATTGAGAACAACTGTCTTTATCCATTGTCCGACGAAAACGGGTTTAATCTGGTTTCAAAAGTATTTAGACAAAATCATACCCAGTGCATTCACTATTAGTATACTGTACTAAATCACTGTTCAGACTGATATATAGTCGGAATTAATATTAAGAATTAAAACTCTTTATAGAAAAAGTACAAATGGTCAATCAGACAATAATTTTATGTTGACAAAAGGCATAAAAGTATATTAAATGATGCTTAATATCTAGAAGATACATTTATCTTTTGAAATATCTGTCGTAACAATGCCATTTGAATAAATTTATCGATTTCCAAGCGCTAAATTGACAGCGTTTCATCTCTACAATTGCTTCCATTTTCACGATTGAACAGATTAGGTGGTATATGGGGGATAATTTTGGTGAAGAAGAATCCTGATTGGGTTGCATGATTATGGTTTAAAATTCATCCATAATTTACCAACTTATTGCATATATTAGATTATTTTTTAGAAATCTTGGGTATAGGACCAAACTTCTGCTTCGACAACCGTGTCAAAATTAATGAGGATGTGTATTGTCCGGTTGTACGGCGACATGATCTTATTCAAAACATTGTTTATGCTAATATTGAATGATTCCATTTTGAATTTCGGAGGAAAAAATCACTACAAGTTCCATATTTTATAATTCATGAAGTATTTTCATTCCAAACTGATAACTATATGTGACCATTTTTTTCTGATTTTGAATTGTATCGTATCTGGCCAGGATAATTGAAAACGTGGGATTGATTTGTTTTCAAAGTTTTGAACTGTTTCCCATTGGATGATACATGTTGTACAGATCCATCCTCACAAAGAACATACAGACTACCGTCTTGTAGTGTAGTCATTGGATATGGGATGGATGGTAGTGTTAATGTGTGTATTTTGTCATCGATAAAGCTGTAACAGTAAAGGTTGTTTTCCATTTCTTCACTGAAGAATATTCTGTTACCAGAAACATTTATTCCCCATGGGTGGCAGTGTGTTCCTATTCTCCGTAATATCTCGTCTGTCTGATAATCAATTATCAATAGTTCCCTATCAGCACCTACTACTAAATTGTCATTTATCATTGTCATGCCAAAAGTATCCTCAAATCCAAATAGTGATATGGATTCAATTTTGTGTTTATTGTTTATGTCATACAACTCGATTCTAGGATTACTGAACGGTTGATTAACAATAACTGCCACTGTGGAGTTGTTGACAGCAGTAAGACTACTTCCATCTGCATCGACTGGTATAGCTGCTATCTCTGATCCATCTGTGTTACAGATAAGTAGTCTGAACTGGAAGCACGAACAAAGCACAAGTCTACCGTCATCCATCATAACGACATCTAATGTCGCTCTAGGCAATAATGTACTGAATTCTGACTTCAGATTAATCTGATGATGAGGATAAAAGATATTCTGCCCAAGTTTGTAGGGACTAATATTGCTTTCATCTATGCCTATGAAAAAAGAAATAAACTTTGTACTTTACTTATCACATAAGGAACATTTTCGACATTTTATGCTCGTATTCAATTTACAACATAATTATATGTAAATGCAGCAGTTACTAGTATGTTGAAATTTTGAGATGATTTGGATCATTCATGATCATGTCAGTAATGTATTTATTTATACAATGATAATATGTAAATTCAAATTTTGAAGCATGTTTGTCATTATAATTTACTGTAAAAAGGCTGACCTTGTTCAATCAACTTTTTCTTGCAGTACTGGCAAATGATTTCATTTCTGTGGTAACTCAATATCTCCTGTTAAATAGCCAATTGAAATAATCAGGAAAAGTTTACTTCAGATATTTGATGTTATTAAAGAAAGTGTACTCTTATGTATACTCTCAGAAAGAATCAAATAGTTTCTTTACTCCTGAAATTTAAAAGTCTTCTGGACATATCTCCCATGGCCAGTACGTGTAAATGATTTTGAAATACAAAAAAGAGATGGGATATGATTGCCAATAATACAACTATCCGCCAGATACCAAATGAAATGGATGTGAGAAACACCAACCTTGTCGACGTACCCGGTTTCGCTCCTTTTGGAGTTCAGGCAGTTCCCGCTGTTACTGTTTTTTTACTTGATATGACTCTTCCTAATCGATTTACGAGATTTGAACATCGGTGAACTACTGTCGCTACTAACGTTAACAATAAGCAAAACCCACACCATAGTAAGTTTTAAAAGTCCACTAAATGACAAAATATGGAACAATTTAACGAGAAACCAAAAGCTTAGTTTACGTAAAAACAATAAACGAACAACAAATTCCAATAACTGAATTACATGCTGCTAACTTAAGACAAGCATACAAAGAATATGACAGTAAGAGTTCACAAAACAAATAATGCCTTAATTATGTACGAACGATGTAAGAACGCAAACGAAACGTTGTCCAAACATATTTTTTACGGATAATAAACGAACCATGTACGAACAAAAGTATATTTATTTTAAAGCATACGATAAACGATGCCTCAAGACAATAGTTTTGCGTACATCGTTTTGCTTAGCTGTCATCATATCGTTTAGCGTATCTTTTCAGCTACCGTTATTTCGTTTAGCGTTCATCGTAAAATTTTTACGTTACAGGGATTGAAAGCATGTTTTGTATTATTTATTTCTTCCGTTAATTCTTCATTTAGCAGTAGCAGGTAAACTATGCTTTTAAGGGTTCTTTTCTAAGAGTTTTGAAATATAATTTTTATTCACCTATCTTCGGGATCACATTTGCTTTTCACAAACCTACAAACTATAAGTTCTTCAAATATTTCGAAAAAGGTTAACATTCACACACAAACAATTGCACTGAAAAATATAAAATAGATCAAAACTGTACTCAAATATGCATATTAAAAACAATAGACATACCTGCACAGCGGAATCAATTCCTTGCATACGAGTGTCCATCTGTAAAATGTATGTTTTAAAATCTTAAAGATCAACTAAAACAACATGAAGCAAATAAAAAAAACCTTCGATCCTTTATCTCTACCACAGGCAGAGTTTACATTAGATGGATTTGACTATTTTCTATCTAATACGTGTTGTTTCAGTTTGTATTACTATGTATGCATTACTCAGTGTCTAGAATACTCTTGATCTTTCTCTGAGAGATTGAATCTACTTTTTTATTGGTTTCATTCGATTGCTGAGGAAGAAAGCTATCTGTATCCTAAGAAGCAAACAAATGACCTACTGATAGAAATTGACATATTCCAGGAAACTAACAAACTCTGTCAACAATAATTGCCTTGTTAGAACATCAAAATGAAAATAATTTTTTCTTTACGTTGGATATTCATTGCTAACGATATGGGTACCAATAAAAATTATTTTGGTGTACATTTGTGAATATATTATCCTGAGTGGCCAAAAGACATTAGAATCTGATAGTTTGTATAATGTGGAGTTTATTTTCTTCATTCTTCAAAATGAAAAGTTCTTATATCCATTTTGAATTCATGATAATTGAATTATATACATTGAACCTGAAAATAATTGACATAAGTTATAAAGGAGACTGCCTGCATTTGAAGAATATATTATTAGATGGAATCAATTACCTGAAAAAGAGATATCTCAACTTGCATCCTGTCTTCTGCTTGTAGATGTAGGAATTTGTTACTGTTTTAACAGGGATCAAATACACAACTAGAGGCACCGAGAACAAAGCGAAAAAATTAATACATCCGCTCCTATTACCCACTGGATAACTATAAGAGGTTAAGAACATGTTTAGTTATGGGAATACATGAACACATACTAAAGAAAAAATAAAGAGTAGAATAATGTGAGGAAATCTTACTTCTATAAACCCCTCTGCTACCTCTACCTGTTTAATAACACAGGTCATAGAGACGGACTCGTGGATGGGGATGTAATGATCATAATATGAAAGAGCAAAGTCCATGTTCTGTATAGAAAACTTCAGACATCATTCTGATTAAAACAAAAAATAGGAGGTAATGGCATAATGTCATGAATAACTTTTTTTTTTTTAAATTAATCAACTGTTTATGAGGATAAGAATAACTCAGTTATTGCTTGGGGCTGTTCCCCCATTAATATAAAGTTGACGAAAAGTCCATATTTTGGTAAAGGACACGCAAGAAATTCTGATCACAAAGGAGCATAGGAGATGCACAAGTACAATAAGTTATACAGAATATATAAACGTTTCGTTGAAATTCACAGACGGACGGACGGCGGATACCCCCAACAATATATAAAAACTAATATAGAACCGGTCAAAGATACAGCCACTTAGTAAAAAGCTAAAACTAATATTTTAATATTAATTTTTTCCAACTTTAATCCGGAGAGAAAAATGCTTACCTCGTTCAGTTTTTTGTGAATGTTCAAAAATTCTGTACTGTATCTCATACACAGTCCTTCATCAAGAGGTCTGTTATCTATCCTGATGAGGTCATCTTGTTTATTTGGATCTAGCTGTAGGACAAAACTCGTCAAATCTGTCCATAAGCTCTTATACTCTGTTTCGGTAATTTGACCTTCGGTGTTGTGGCTGAGATAATTATTCTTGAAGCGACGTAATTTGCGTACAGCGTTTTCTTCAGATGGTTGTAGATGGCAGCAGTTCAATAAGATTAAACTTGCTAATGTTATATCAAGCTCACATAGCTGTACTGGGTTTGCTATGAACTTGCAATGACAGTTGTGACCAGGTTGACTTGAATTCTCAGTGTACAGCAGATCCCACTGACAGTAATTCAGCGGAAGATTTGATTTATTGAAACATTTGAGGTTGTCTTTACAGCAGCTGGCATTTCTGTGTCGTAGATGAAACAGTATGTGTATTACTGGTTGGGTGCTAAGAAAAGCTTGTAAAGATCCCTGCCCTTTACTTCTGTAGTCATTTTCTAATCTGGTTCTGAACAGTGGTAGAACAATCTCAAAAAATACTGATCCTACAATAAAATAACGTCGACGATCCTCTACATCCATCCTCTAAATAAAAAAACCCAATAAAAATCTTTTCTTATTTACTGATTTAGATAATCTTTTTTGATATTTTTTTTGTTTGTTAAAGGATGATTGAAGTTTTATCTAACCAGATTTGATTGAATATGTTGTTGTGCAATGTGTAATACAATTTTGTTTTTCTATTGTTGTATGCTTCAATTGGGAAATATTTCATGCAAAATTGTAATCTTCTTTCGTGACAGCTGATAAAGCAACCAAAAGTACACCATCGGCTCAGTAGTCAGTGCTTCGGTCCTGACATGATTTTTAACATATATTTCAAAAACTCCCACTAGATAAATAAAGAAATTACAAACTTAAGAAATAATGGTTCCAACCCAATGAGGTAAAGTTGAACTGATCCGAATTTTGCTAAATTGTTTATGTCCCTTTTTGTCATAAAGCTTCTAACGCTTCTACTTACTGTAAACCAACTTATTTTCGCGAGCGATTTATTTTCGCGACTTTCGCGACTTGAAAAGTTACGCGAATATAAATCGTCGCGAATTTTTATCTTCCTAATATAAATACGTCAAAATAATTAGAAAATCGTGAAAATAAATCGCCGCGAAGTCGGCTACGAAGGGATAAACGCGAAATAAAGTATCCGCGAAAATAAGTTGGTTTACAGTATGAATACACCACTGTCTTTTAAATGTATGGGTTTGAGCGTTCCTGATGAAGGTTCATCAGAAATAATGAGCTTGGACGTACAAGTGTATATGTTATTTTCATTTACCTTGAATTTGTGGTAACATCAACATGAAACTTAGTCCAACATACGTGTATCATGATGTCAACTTTTTTTATATATATGCCAATAAGGTTTGTAATCAAACTTTTACTGTTCACTAAACATGAAAATGCAAAAGAGTGATTGGAGCTACTGTCATATAAACATGTTGTAAATCATATTGTTCATTTTAACAAGAAATGTTTCAATTTTACCAACATGACTTATATCTTGGTATTGACATTGAAGGTCGGTTGAAAACATAACTTTACAATAAAAGAGATGATTTCAGCTTCCCAATTGTAAACTTTCCATTTCTATGTAGCAACATTCTAGCAGAGCCTGAATATGGATGGTAGTTGATGGCTGCTAAATGTCCAGCGGCAAATTAATATATATATTCAGGACGATAACATGTTAATGTAAAATGAAAATTAACCCTGCTTTATACTAGACACGCTGGGCCGGATTTTTAACGTGCTAGTTCACAAGGTAACAGTCCGCAGGAAGGCATGTCACCTTATCCGGACACATTATTCTGACTTCGAGCCAACCAGTCTTTTCCTTTTATGCCACGTGCTTAGCGGAGAAACAGCAAATACCAATTTTAAAGTCTTCGGTTCGACCCGGCGGCGGTTCGAACCCACGACCTCCCGCACTTCAGGCGAACACGCTACCACGAGACCACCGAGGCGGTCGTCTGCATATGGAGTATATACCTCCCAGTTGATACGATATTCAAGAGCTTCTATTTCCTATTATTTCTTTCCTTCGTAGAGGGTTGCTACTTACAAGAAGGATATTTGACAAAGATTTCCAAGTGGTGAAGATGCAATCATACCTCTGAGAATTTTAAGGACGCCATCACGAGGTGGTTGTTTATTATGGAATATCTGTTTCACAATTATCGTAACCACAACCCCGTCCTCTTCGAATATGACCTACCGAATTAGACGTATCACTGGGTTTGTACTTACACGAGGAATAGGACGGGTGCCACATATGGACCAAATTCTTCCTACCCTTCCGAAGCACCTGAGATAACTACCACCCGGTTTTTTGTTGGGTTCTTGTGGCACCGCCTTTAGTTTTCAATGCTGTGTGTTGTGTACTGTTGTTTGTCGTTTCGTTGTTGACATGGCATCGTCAGTTCGTTTTCAACTTATGAGTTTAAATGTCCTTTTGGTATCTTTCGCTGCTCCCTTGTCATATTGATAAATGTAAAAAAAGAGATAAGTTGTACATATCTATGCTACAGCATATAAACTTAACAAAAATACCTAAAGATGTGATTGAGTAGTGCATTGATAGGTCAGATATTTGGGGTGCCCACTAAATAATAATGAAATAATCTGATCCAATAGTATAGGAAAACAGAACTTTAAACGAAAGTGAAATAGTTCCAGATAGATCATTTGTTGTTTGTTTATCATGTTTATTGCTAATTTCAGTTGTTGGTTTGGTATTAAAATTTATTGAATAATATAATGTGACATACCGTTTAAATTGAACTGGCTAAATTTTTTTTAACTGAAGCTAGTACACATTCCAGAGGAACCATACATTTTAAACCTCCTTTGATATTTATAGTAACAATCACATGATATTGTTGTTAAGGTAAATATTGATCTTGAGTTCAAAAGATCTAAAAAAAAGCATTTTGCAAATAACTGAACTGTAAATATGAGCTAAATCACTATTATGAATAATAATAAGTGGCGATATCACGTTAAGCAGTTTTCCAATGTACGAATTGAAAATGTCATACACTGACTGGTCTCTCTATATAGAATCCTATGGTACAAAAAGTCATGTATATTTCATCCGTACTCGGACGTAACAGGCAATACTCTTCTGTGCTAGAATTGTAAAATACTTAATTTCTCATCAATAAAAATGTAATCATTGTATAAAAGACACATTGTCATGATAACCGTTAACATTGCATCATTGTGATCACCTGAGGGGAAGTTGTCTTTTGAAAGACATTATTATGTTTCTTTTTATCTAATTATCACAATTGTATATGTAATAGTTATACACTGAGGAATAGGTGTGTCCGGAGGCTGGAGGTGTTTCTTATCCAGACACGCCGTATCCCGAAGTGTATAACTAAGTTACACCCGATACTTAACCCTATATCTGTTCTTCACTTATATTATTTAATGAGGATTTTGAAAGTAAAAAAAGAGTACTACAAATTACATTGTGTATTTCGAACTAGGAAGAGTCCCACTGTATGTACATAGGTACTGTAAAATGATGAAATATTGGTGTAAATTGTAAAAAACTGACAATTGTATTCTGAAAAATGGTTATTTGAAATGCTGGAGGCTAGCAATGTAAAAAGTAAAAATAAATTGAATTGGTTATGTAAAATAAGAGATTTATTATGTAATTATGGTTTAAGTCATGTATGGTTGACACAAAATGTTTTAGATGTAGATGTTTGTATAGCTGATTCCAAACAGCGTGTTACTGAAAGATTTATATCTGAATCGATGTCATTTTTTCAGGAGTCTTCTAAATGTCAGTTTTACAAATACATATATGACAGTCATGGTTTGCAGTTTTATCTAAGTAGACCCGTGAATTTTAGATATAAACCATGAATAAGCAAGTACCATTTACATGCACATAATTTGAACATTGAAACAGGAAGATTTTTAAATATAAACAAAAACGCTAGAATATGTAATATGTGCAACTGTAATTCTGTTGAGGATGGATATCATTTTATTTTGGAATGTATTGGATATAAAGATATTCGTATGAAGTATATTAAACCTTATCATTGGAGAAATCCATCAGTATTTAAACTTATACAATTGTTATCTGTTCGTAATATAAAAGAACTTAATAATTTTGGGAAGTATTTATGTATTGCCGAAAAAATTCCTAATCATTGAGTGTGTATATCATACTTCAAAATTGTTAAACTATATTAATTAATGTCATGCGCCTAAATTTGTTTTAAATTGTATGAATTGTATACTAATGAAGTACTGTATTGTACTATGTGATGATTACTATATACATATTTATTGTAACATTAATTGAACTTGATACCTATAAGCTGTATTGCTTTTGGAATAAAGAGGTATAAATATATTGAATATTAAATGAAAAAGAACGAATAGCATTTTTATTGACAATACCAAATCATGATTAATAAGAAAAAAACATTTTTATATGAAACCCAAGTAGTAGCCTTACTTTGACGATCTTCATTCGAACATTGACAAGTGAGTAGATTTTACAAATGTCAAAGTTGCCGTTGTGCATATTCCCGTAAAATGCATGTGATAATATGGACCAGCAGGTCAATGTTGGCCGTATCGTGCATTTTTATTACAAAAAAATACATCATGCTTCTTGTATACAGTTGTCAATATGGACGGGTATAAGACGGACGACATTTTGAGTCAGGCTTTGGATTTGGCAGAAGAGACTGAAGATAACGCAATATTTATAACCCAAAGTACTTGCTTGTATCAATTTAATGAAGGTAAACATAAATGTAATTTACATGCTACGGTTTTATCAAAAAGCCCCCCCCCCCTCTTTTATCATCATTAATCAAACATTCATATTCTAACATACTGAGGGATAGGTGTGTCTGGATTAGAAACTACGACGACCAGACACGCTTAACAAACAAAAATACAGATTGCATATGTAGGACCATCCAAGGGGGGGGGGGGGGGGGGGGGGAACCTCCCTTTTTGACGATCAATGCTTTTGATTGGGGACATATGGTTGGAACCCCCCCAAACTTTTTATCCTTGGTTGAAACCCCCTTCCCCTTTTAAAAATGGCTGGATCTGCCCCTGGATGCCATCATTTGTCTTCAACAATCCAAATATTAATATTTATTTTATGATTTAGACTAAGTCCAAATGAATACTATAATATATTTATGCTTTTAATGTTTAATTTAAATAAAAGTTCTATACATGTGTGTTCTTTAAGTCATTGCCATATGGGATTAAAATTCTAACGTCAAGCAAAGGACTATTTAAAGGATTTTTTTTTAATTCAAAATAGATGCTAAATATTTTTTTCGCTATTGGAATTTTCTGAAATATTTTTTTTTTTAATATGTCTTGAAACACTTTGAAATTAACACTATTAGTAATCTCTTCTGTTCATGCTATCACAAAAACCAAATTTCTATTGGTATGAATAACAATGGACTGTGTTTTCGGGATGCAGAAGCAGGGGTTTCCAGAAACCCCGCTCGTCACACCCCATTTGTATTCGTAACAATAAATCTATTCAGTTTACATTTGTTTCAGTAATAGAAACTATAAAGTATAATAATAGAACTGGGGTGTAAATGTGCATGCCGTCATACTACTTACAACTATTTTACTGCTGGTTGTCAAGACGAATTTTCAAACGTTTGATTAAAAAACATTTAAATACTTCTATAAAAAATATTTCCGGAAAGAACATTCTAGTGGTTGTCGTTGTTTCATGTCTATCATATTTGTTTAACGTAACTTGTTTTTTTTTTTTTGTAAATGAGGCCTTTGGTTTTCTCGTTTGAATTTTTTCACTTTTTTCATGTCGAGGCCTTTAATAACCGACTAAACGGTATGAGTTTTTCTCATTGTTTAAGACCGTTTGGATACCTTTTATTTCTAACATCCATTTCATTTGAAGTCTGGTGGATCATTGCCATTCATACATCTCCTTTTTTGCATATAAACATTTTTGAAATCGATCTATCGATAACAAACAAAATTATAGTTGATTTTTTTTTAAACTTTGCATTTTTGATAGACAAAAATAAAAGTCTACCGTTCAGATGTTTGTTAAGATGTTTGACTGAAATTTAAAAAGGGATGACTTCTCTTTTGAAGTACATTTTCATGAACAATGTGAACTTGTATAGATCTTTTTGATTTAATATTGTGCCTAATAAAATGAAATTTTACAGGTAAGACTAGATCTAGTTTAACAGCACGAGGTGGTTTGGTGATAAAACGAGTCAGGTTCATTTACTACCAGTGGTAGGTACAGACGACGTGTATGTTCCAATTATTGTAACCGCAATCCCGTCCTCTTCGAATATGACCTACCGAATTAGACGTATCACTGGGTTTGTACTTACACGAGGAACAGGACGGGTGCCACCTTTGGACCAAATTCTGCCTACCCTTCCAAAGCACCTGAGATTACCCCCCCCCCCCCCCCCCCCCCGGTTTTTTGTTGGGTTCGTGTGGCTCCGCCTTTAGTTTTCTATGCTGTCTGTTGTGTAATGTTGTTTGTCGTTTCGTTTTTGACATGGCATCGTCAGTCCGTTTTCAAATGATGAGTTTAATTGTCCTTTTGGTATCTTTCGCCTCTCCCTTGTCATATTGATAAATGTAAAAAAATGAGATAAGTTGTAGATATCTATGCTACATCATACAAACTAAATAAAAATACCTAAAGATGTGATTGAGTAGTGCATTGAAAGGTCAGATATGTGGGGTGCCCATTAAATAATAAAGATATAATCTGATCCAATAGTATAGGAATACAGAAATTAAAACGAAAGTGAAATAGTTCCAGATAGATTATTTGTCGTTTGTTTATCATGTTTATTGCTAATGTCAGTTGTTGGTTTGGTATTAAAATTTATTGAATAATATAATGTGACATACCGTTTAAATTGAACTGGCTAATTTTTGTTTAACTGAAAGCTAGTACACATTCCAGAGGAACCATACATTTGATACCCCCTTTGATATTTATAGTAACAATTACATGCTATTGTTGTTAAGGTAAATATTGATCTTGAGTTCAAAAGATCTAGAAAAAGCATTTTGCAAATAACTGAATTGTAAATATGAGCTAAATCACTATTATGAATAATAATAAGTGGCGATATCAGGTTAAGCAGCTTTCCAATGTACGAAAGACACGAACTGAAAATGTCATACAATGATTGGTCTCTCTATATAGAATCCTATATTTAGCATCTATTTTGAATTAAAAAAAATCATTTAAATAGTCCTTTGCTTGAAGTTAAAATTTAAATCCCATATGGCAATGACTTAAAGAACATACATGTATAGAACTTTTATTTGAATTATATATTAACTGGGGTGTAAATGTGCATGCCGTCATACTACTTACAACTATTGTATTGCTGGTTGTCAAGACGAATTTTCAAACGTTTAATTAAAAAAACATTTAAATACTTCTATAAAAAATATTTCCGGAAAGAACATTCGAGTGGTTGTCGTTGTTTCATGTCTATCATATTTGTTTTACGTAACTTGTTTTTTTTTTTTTTGTAAATGAGGCCTTTGGTTTTCTCGTTTGAATTATTTTACTTTTTTCATGTCGAGACCTTTAATAACCGACTAAACGGTATGAGTTTTTCTCATTGTTGAAGACCGTTCGGGTACCTTTTATTGCTAACATCCATTTCATTTGAAGTCTGGTGGATCATTGCCATTTATACATCTCCTTTTTTGCGTATAGACATTCTGGAAACCGATCTATCGATAACAAACAAATAGTTGATTTTTTTTTAAACTTTCCATTTTCAATATACAAAAATAAAAGTCTACCGTTAAGATATCTGACTGAAATTTAAAAAGGGATGACTTCTCTTTTGAAGTACATTTTCATGAACAATGTGAAATTGTATAGATCTTTTTAACTTTGATATTGTGCATAATAAAATGAAATTTTACAGGTAAGACTTGATCTAGTTTAACAGCACGAGGTGTTTTTGTGATAAAAAGGATCATGTTCATTTACTACCAGTGGTAGGTACCGTTGCTGGTGGGAACCTACTTTTCCAAAACCCATTTTTAAAGGAAAAGAAAGTGTTTTTTTTAAATCCAACATAGGAATAAAATAGAAAGATAATAGCTTTAAGAAAAGAAAAAGAGAAAAAATAGTACACCGTATTTATTCCTTGCTACATGTACATAACAAATAGCTAAATTTTCTGTACAATCCTTTATTAAGATTTATTTTCTCGGTTCTCTTATGTCTGTTTGTTTTGTTCACACATTGTTGTCAATATAACGTAATTCTATCCGACTGTCATACAAGTGAGAGGTTTAGCTAGCTATAAAACCAGTTTAAATCCACCATTTTCTACATAAGGAAATGCCTGTACCAAGTCAGGAATATGACAGTTGTTTTCCATTCGTTCGATGTGTTTGAGCTTTTGATTTTGCCATTTGATAATGGATTTTCCGTTTTGAATTTTCCTTGGAGTTCGTTTTATTTTTTGTTATTTTACTTTTTACAAGGAAACATTACATTTTGATTAATTAGTCAAACAGTTTTCTTTTTCTGTATTTGCACAAAAAACATTTGTCAGTGTTTGTATGTATATCATATATAGGTGTATTATGATAATGGGATGCGTAGACATACATTCAAACGAAAAATACTGAGCACCTTATATAGATGATTACATTAAGTATACCTCTCAAAATATTTAATTCAATTATCGTTCATTCATAAAGCTGTAAAACTTTGCCTTTTGAAAAATGTCTACATTGTTATTAAAAATAACGTCAATTTCACTCTTTTCTGAATACCATTACAAAATACTAGTAGTCAGAATGTATCTTGGGACAGATCCAGAATATTTGATTAAAATGGCATACTTTATTGTATTTTTTTTTAAATAGTTATTGAACAGTATTTCAATCTCCTATAAACTTTTTCAAAATTCTACAACTTTTTACCTTAAGCATAATTTCATATTGAACTGGGTGGTTAAGTGAAGACACATTTTATTCTCAAAACGGGGAAGACGGAAGACCTTGAACTGGAAATTGTTAACCTCATCAAATCGATCGAAATGGATTGAATGGTAGAACATCGTACCTTAGCTATTTTTTGTCCTGTCTCTCCGCTTCGGTGATCAAATATTTCCGTGGGCGATTATACAAAGTTTAGTTTTTTTATTCACTAAATTTTATAGTATTCGTCTGTCGACATGCATACGAGGTAAATGGAGTTTTATTTTTTTTGATTTTGACCCGAGAGAAATGGATTAATATAAGAGTAATTCTTTTGTTTACAAATACCCTTTTTTTTACTTGATGTACACTTTGTATTTGTAAATATGAAATCAATCAAAAGGTATTGATCAATACTGCAGTATGATCGTCATTCGTCATATTATTTAAACGACATATTTTCGTTCGCCATATTTTACCTTTGACCAGGTAGTTCACGTTTGAATGGTTTTTCTTTGTACGTTGTCATAAGAGCATTGAACAGGAAGTGTCTTTACCAAAACATGTAAAATCCGATTAAGGTCAAAATAATGGTAAGTATTTATTAGTACATGTTAAATGTGTTGTTGAAAAAAATAAATCTTGAATTATTCTATTACAATTTTATTTCATGTAGTAGCCATTTGAATATATTTTAAAAAGAAAACCGGGAACCCACAATTATCAAGCAATGGTTACCATTCGGATCAATGAACACAGTCATATTTAACTGTATGCAAACATTGTTTTTTATCAGATCTTTACAACTTATTCCTGAATATATATGGATTTGCATTCGTATGGATTTAATATAAGAAAAGTAGTGATGTTTTGATATAAAGAGATTTATGAAAATATTGACCTTAAAATCAATGACCGAAGAAAACAACGAAAAAAGTTAACTTTATTCTCGTTTAATACATTAAATACCAATGTAGACGGAGTGTTATCCGCCCTTTACCACAACCACAAAGAAAAACCCAAAATAAGTTACCCGCTCTATATCACCACCACAAAGAAAGCCCAAAATAAGTTAAACACTTTTCTTTTTAATTCATCGCGTTTTCAATAAATCAGTCAACGGTTATTAGGCTGATATGTTAAATTTCTTATTTTATTCAATAAAGAATCTTGAAGGTAACATCATAAAGTGGTTAATAAAAAATCAAAATGATGAAAACCAAACAATTATACATGAAAAAAAAATAGGAAAAGTAAGTTTCGCCACCTTTCTAACATATATTTATATAAATGTAGGACTATTTTCATTCTAACAGGAGCAAAATGAAAAAAAGTTATATATCTTAATATCCTATACTATATGATCATAAAATTTTCATTATAATGTCCGAATATATCATTTTCAAATTGATGAAATGCTCTGTCTTACAATTCAGGTACATGTATGTATGGACGTTCTATGCTTACAACCCATTTTTTAAAATAATGTACATACATCATTCTGTCCGAGATATTAACACAATATGTAATTGTCATTACTGTTATTCATACAGAATCTATATCTAGCTTCTGGCTACAACTATTTGCACATGTTTTTATTGTATTATTGCATTACATGTATAAATATTATGTACTCAATATTAACTAAACAAAAGCATAATTTATATTAAAAAAAAAGAGTTCGGTTTACGCGGAAGTCTTTTTGTTAAATTTATAATTGAAGTGCAAATTAGAGTTGAAAAGGATGTCCTTAGTGTGTAAAATTCTTTTTATGAATGTATTAATTAAAATGCAAATGTATCTTCATTACTGTCAATTAATAATTAAAAATGCAAATCATGTGTCGTCAGATCTATAACATTTTTATATTACACAACAGTTAGTTCACTAGTACATGTTATACTTAAAGTTGTTTAATTGTTATCACACGGAAACACATTGTTTCAGAAACAAAAGTTAGTGTGACTAATTAAATAATATTTGTTCCTGTTTTTATTTATTTGTGCATTTAAACATTCGTCAAATGGTGACCAAACCAGGACGTTCAATTTTAAGATTACTTAAATTTTCGGTTGTGACGTGTATCAAAATTTAATAGGATTAGACGGTTTCAGCAAGATTGAATAAAACGTAATCTTGTAACGTGTGTACATTGTGTATTTCCTTCTATAAAACTGCATGTATATTGTAAGTATTTACTAATATACTAGCGCTATCTTCTTTGAACAAATGAATAATTTCTATATATCAAACTTTTTTTTAAAGTGTAATCAAACTGTACAAAAATTCGCCTCAGCACAGCTTCAAATGCCATTGTACAATCTGATGTTCATACATTTGTACATGTACTTAAAATGGCGTATTTTGAACAAGTACATGTAACACAGAAAACCATAGGCGCTTTGGACATGGAACGCCTCCCCCACATTTCTCATTTTTTTCGGTGTGTTAAATTTTTTTAGTGAAATACCATTTAATTTCACTTATTTAATCAATTTTATTCTTGCTCTTTTCTAAAAAAAATAAAAATAAAAAAAAAAAAAGACGACTTAAGTGAGACTTCCCAATATCTTTAATATAAAATGGATGTTTCATGCAACATATGATGTGAATTGATTTGAATTCACCATGTTTTATATTCCCATGTAAATGAAGATACAGTTAAAAACAACATACTAAAGTTGTAACAGGTGCTTGAACTAACTGTATGTTTCTTTTACTTATAGGTTTTGAAAGTTATGATGACTGTCCAGGTGGCGCTGTTTGTAGTCATTCTTGGTTTAGTTGAAGGTAAATAAGGTTAATTATTTATTGGTTTATAGACCTTTAACATAATTTTCATAGACACTAAAAAAAGGATAGCAAGGATCTCAGTATCGCAGTATTCCTTTTATAACCTTCTATAAGATATAAACTTATTACTATCCAGTTAGTAACACTTATACATTCAAGACATATATCTGTCAAGAATGATATTTTTGTATTGTACTAGGTCAATTAATTTTAAAGACTGCTTATGATGTCTTTTCTGAATCCATTAGAGGTACATGTATACCGAATATAAGTCGTTATATTCCACTGCTCCACGATGACTACATTCTGAGTGGGAGAGTCGATCATATGGGAGGGACTGAATTATTTGGGTTACTGAAAACATGGTTTATTTATTTGTTGAAGTTAGGAATTTGTACTACCTTTCAGTAACTACGAGCACTCTTAGATCAGTTATTTGTGTCTTTTGTGCTTAGTACCGATTAGATGAGTCTAGCCGTATATTTGTACAGTGTGCTCTATTATTATACTATTACACCACTATCATAGGTAAGAAAGATGGTTAAACTCTAAAAATGTGGTAAACTCCGTCACAGTCTACATGTGTCCGTCAAAAGCCAGGCATCCGTAATCAAGAGGTGGTCCTTGGTTGCTGTCTGTCTGTCATAATTAATTTCTATTTATTGTTTTTAATCTAGATTAAGTACGTTGGTTTTATCTGATTAATTGTTTAACATTTGTTTATCCCGGGCTTTTTATATTTCATTGTAAGATATGGAGTTTGACCATTTGCTCATCGTATGGTAACCTGAAGATGTTAAACTTCTGTCCTTTCTGTATTTGGATGATAGTTGTCTAATTTGTATTATACCATATGTTCTTTATAGTAAGTTCAACTTAATAGAGGCTTACAATGTTAAAAAAAAAACAATTCGTGAGTGGTTTTCTAGACGAATAAATGTGTTCTTTGGAAGTAACAAAGAATTAACAGCCGGTTCTAGCATCGATTTCTTTATCCAATTGTATTCATTCCATTCTCCTTGTATTGAAAAAGGTTGTTTAAAGTAGTTTGTACAAAAAAAAGGTAGAATAGAAATATAAATTCTCTAATACTTACTCTCATGTTTCTTAGCAATGCATCATTTAAAGAAAAACTAAGAGATAAAAATCCTGTTTCAAAATGATAGAGTCAGGAATGATGTTTCCGATTACTTTCAGGGCTGAGAGTGAAACGAGATTTGTTCCAGCTAGCCGAGATGATAGTAGATACCACAGGAAGAGATCCACTCAACTTCAATGGATATGGATGTTACTGTGGATGGGGAGGTAGTGGAACCCCTGTGGATAAAGATGACAGGTGAGGAGAGAATAATGAATAAAGATGTGGAATATATGAGTAACTGAGTCTTCAGCATACAGTAGATTGTTATGGAATATCAAATGACTGAGTCCTTAAAATAGAGAAGATTGTTATGGGATATCTGAGTAATTTAGTTCCTAGAATGGAAATAGGATTGACTTTTATAGAATATCTGAGTAGCTGAGTCCTCAGAATAAGGTTGACTGTTATGGAATATCTGAGTAAGTGAATCCTCAGAATAAGGTTGACTGTTATGGAATATCTAAGTACTTATAACTGAGTCCTCAGAATAGGGTTGATTGTTCTGGAATATCCGAGAAACTAAGTCCTCAGAATAGGGTTGATTGTTATAGAATATCTGAGTTATTGAGTCATCAGAATAGGATAGATTGTCATGGAACATCTGAGTAACTGAGTCCTCAGAATACGGTTAAGTATTATAGAATATCTGAGTAGCTGAGTCCTCAGAATTGGGTTGATTGTTTTTGAATATTTGAGTAACTGAGTAACTGAGTTCTCAGAATGGAGTTGGTTGTTATAGAATATATGAGTAACTGTACTCTCAGAATAGGATTGATTGATGTGGAATATCTGAGTAATATGGTTGATTGTCATGAAATATCTGAGTAACTGAGTCTAAAGAATATGGTTGATTGTCATGGAATATCTGAGTAACTGAGTCCATAAAATATGGTGGATTATCACGGAATATTTGAGTTACTGAGTTCTTAGAAAAGTGTTGATTGTTATGGGATATTTGAGTAACTGAGTCTTCAGTTTAGGGTGTATTGTTATGGAACATCTGAGTAACTGTTATTTGCTGAAATATGTCATGTATATTCAGGGCGAGAATCCTCAGAATTAAGATTAGTTTCTTATAAATACCGGTAGATGAAATTAATTTTTTTTTATTGGAAATGCCAATTTCAAACATTTAACATCAGATACATTTAACTAATTTTAGTATGGTTTACGGTTTTTGACTATATTGAAATTAAATTTTTATCAAGATAATTGCAGACAAATTTAAAAAACCAACCACCTATTCAACATTTTATGAGCAAATACATAACGTATTTAAATAAGTCGTAACAAACATTTGTTAAGACGTGTATAAATTTGATTCGTATAGTAATTATGACTACCTTTTAGAATATAGACGACGGAAATCATTCAATCTACACAATTCTTAGAGTAAACTATATCTTATTTAGTTTGGTATTCATAGGTTGCTTAATTGCAATATTTATATAATGATTCAATATATTTTCTTCGTATTGGTTCACTAAATCAGAACAATAAGAGTAAAATTAAGTACTTAAACAACACAACCTGTCAATGATACCAGTAGATGAATAGGTTAGAACGGCATGTGCTCTTAAAAGCTAACAGCTCTATTTTACATATTGCACCTACGTTACCGGTGGTAGAAATCTAAAATAAAAACGGACATGTTTTATGTTTGATAATTGATTATTTTACAGTTTTTCACCATACTTGAACGTTACAAAATGTTCCTTCATTAGACAAAACCTTAAGAAATGTAAACGCAATAAAACTCTGACGATAACACTGTTTTAGATGCTGTCAACAACATGATGACTGCTACGGTCAAGTAACAACAGACCTTCCGGACTGCTCACCAAAATGGAACCACTACAAATGGAACATCATGGATAAAACAGTTGATTGTCTTGGTACGTACCATGATTGTGTTGATTTTATATCTCTTTTTTCTTCCAAGCAAAAGACAGCCGATAATTTACTCGTTTAGCTAAATAATTTTTATGAAGGTCGAATTGCACCACATATCGACATGCATCATATATTAAATTAAAGAGAGATACAGGGCGTACCTTTATTATGACAACTACAAAATAAACTAAAAGATTAACTGAGAACAAAATCATCTAAAGGTATGCATTCGGCCTTAAACAATTATTATATATATTTCCAAATATTTTTTTTAAAAAGAGCACATAATTGCAATAATAATCTTTATTACATACTTAATATTTAATACAACCAATGGCAAACGTTCTTTATCAGCCATCCGTCATATCAGTCATGGTTGCAAATGCTTTATCAAACCCCTTCTCTGTATTACTTCGTGTCACGTGAAAACTTCTATTTTAGTTATATGATATGACTTTTTCAATATCACACACATTTTCGCCCCTATTAAATTTAAAAAAAAAAGCTTTCAATTCTTAATTAAACCGATCACACAGATCAACATTTCTGCTTGAATGTTCTTGCATCCCAACTTAAAGCATGCAATTATAACTGTACCTGTACCTTTATATAAATCAAATTCTTATAAAAACATTTGTATGCTGTACCCATGAATTTATGACTTAAGGTGGTACATAACACTACAGGGAAATAACTCTGTAAAAATCAGCCGAACGTTTTAATCACGTTCTTTTGTTAAGGAAATATTAAGCTTCTCAATGATCAAAATTAGTATTTGTCAAAAACGAATATGAATATTTTCCAGCAGATATCTAATGACTTTAATCATTTCTTTGCCTATTCGGTTAGTTTATTTTTGTATTTCTGAAAAGTGAAATATAACGACTGCAACCGATACATTTACATCCAAATGCTATGTATCCAATGAATTTTTTCCCATAAAGTGTGTGATTCAATTCTTTTGAAATTTTTATATTTTTATCAAAGGGTCAAATTAAATATTTTGTCAAAATTTTATGAAAATTAAACAAGCCAAATTAATTCTAGTCAAGGTGTTTGGTACCACCTTAAATCAAGCTTTTAGTTATTTTCCTATAGATGCATTGTTGTAGCCATGTCATGGAGAGAACGTTTAATTATAGTTGTTGCAATTTTTGTGGAAATAAAACTTAATTTTGGAATGTCTCGCCAATATTGTCTGCAAATCAAAATTACAGAATATGTAACATCTATGCAATGTTATTATTGAAATATATCTTTTTTTTCACAGATCAAACGAAAAAGGTCAAAAGTAAAAGCACATCTATTTTATTCAAGCGCAATGAAAACTGTCCAAGACGAATCTGTGAATGTGATAAAGCTCTAGTGGAATGTTTATACAAAAATCAATATCACAATGAAAACTACAAACTTGACAAAGGACTAAAATGTAAAACTGCGGACAAAAAAGGTCAAATGTAATTTAGAATCAATTAAAATGGGAGATGAACAGACATCAGTATCATATCACACCAATCTGCAGATGAAGATCTTCTCTCAAATGATGGTGCTCATTACGCTTGACATTGGTTTTCATTCAAAACATTGGTTTTGGAAGACATTGGAATTTACATCGACACTCTAGAGCTTAGTTCTATCTTAAATATTTCATTTTCGATAAACCAAATGAATTGCACTTTTTTTTAAATTTCATTCTATTTAAGGGGTTGGGGAGAGGACGATACGGTATTTTGGCCACGGTGTACCTACAGAACGTGCCAATGCTAAAATCGTTGCTCTTTTGTCGATAAGTCTTTAATGTCATTTGTATCTCTCATATACTGTAAGAATAAACTACTCTATGGATTTGTATTCGTCTGTTTAAAAAATTCCGCCGATTTTTTTTATCTGGAAAATGAGTTAAGTTCAGATAAGGTACATGCATGTACGAGTTAAAAAGAAAGAGAATATGTTGAACGAATGCATAAATACCAGATTATTTTCATACGTATACACCTGTATCAGTCTCCATCAAAGAAAACTGATGAGACGCCAAAAATATCAAAATTTCTGGAACCAAGACAAAACACGACACAAATTATAAACACTTAAAAAAAAATCAAAAGACAAATAAAACAAATCACTTAAACTACAAAAAATAGAAAGACAGATTCAACACGGTGGTTTTCGTTGGTTCATTTCTGTCAAATTTGTTTTTCGGAAATTGTTTTGTTATAAATTAGGCCATAAGTTTTCTCTTTTGAATTGTTTAACATTTTTCATGTCGGGGCCTTTTATATACGACTATACGGTATGGAATTTTCTAATTTTGAAGGCCGTACGTTGGCCTTTAATTGCGTACTACAACTTACGTTTAACTCTGTTGGATAGTTGTCTCATTGGCAATCATACCATCTAATATTGATTTAGAATATAGCAAAGTGCTCTCGACCAATGAAATTGTAGGATTTGTTGTCTCTTAATTGTGAAGAATGAATGTAAATCATGTTCTTAGTAAAGGATTATCCTATTATTTAGGTCTATTTACAGTTCAAAACAAAGAGTTTCTATAAATGAGTTACAACTGCCCCGAAGCACATTTATCAGATTGAAAGGATTTATCACACAGTGATTGAAACTGACTAAAAGTTGAATTGTGAAACAAACAAAAAAATCAAAATAAGTTGAAATTTATTGGTGCAGTAAAATTGGTACCTTTAATTTTATTATGAAAATATTAATATCTTCAAATTACTAAAAAATTGAATAATATCAAAGCAATGCAAAAAAAGAAAAAAAAATTAAATAAAAAATAACCTAATTATTTAGTTTCCCAAACTCTGATTACTGGACCAGCGGTTTTGAAGAATATTCCGATAAAATAAAAAAAAATAAAACAGGAATTAATTTAAATTTTGAATATGTTTAATACTTTAAATGGCATTTTATTTGAACATTCCCCTGACTGAATGAAATAGTATTTGATTTACAAAGCCGGACCAAAATATTGCCTGTGAAATAAAATTAGTTGTAACTCAAAAGTATTTATTGATTTAAACTGTAAATAAACAGTAGATAGTTCCTCACTAAAATATTACATGATTTACAGTCTTACTCACAATCAGGAAACATATACAATTCCTACTTTTTCTTTGTACTGTTGTGTAACCTAATGTCTATAACTCATTTTTTTTTATATTTCCCAAATTATAAGAAAGTCCTTACATCACTAAAACTAATCCATAAATGAAATGCCGAAAAAGGAAGTCATGCATCAATTACAAACATTGCAATGACAATGAAACTAATTCTTGAATGCAACCAATCAAGAAATCATTTGAGCCTTGAGCACTTTACAATATTCTAAGTTTGTAAGAGAATGATAATCCCTTACTTCATGATAAGTACTCGCTAACGCTCGTACTTAATCACGAAAAAAGGAATTATCATTCTCTTACATATACTTGGACAATCTTTTATCTTAATTGAACCTTTGTTACTAGTTTCTTCACACGTTTCTTTGAAGGTCCGGTATGTGATTGGTGCCCGCCAAAAATACCGTCCAAATAAATTTAAATCTAGATGGTTTAACCTTATTGAATAATACAAAGAAATAAACAGAGTAAGCAAAATGTGTTCTCGTATAAATTTGGTAGCCACCAACGTCAAACGTAAATATTCCAGTACAACTCCAGGAATCGCAGTTATTTCTTTATTAATGTTGACTATTTCAATTCGTTATACATCTTTGAAAGTGTTGATAGTGCAATATTACTCAATGAATCTATACGAAGAAAATATTGATTAAAAAAGTGTAAACTGCCGGTCCTTAAAATGTGTGAAGACTCATCATAAAAATAAGAAGATGTGGTATGATTGTCAATGCCACAACTCTCCACCAGAGACCAAATGATTTGGAAGTAATTAAAGGCTCTTGACTTAGGACAGGCACATACAAATTGCGGCGGGTTTAAACATATTTGATGGTGCCCAACTCTCCCTATTAAACATGGGACAGTGGTGTAACAGAACTGCATTTAAACAAATTATAAAAAATAGTTGAAAAAGTCTTTTAACTCATCAGATCGATACAAATCACAGAAACAACTAACAAAAACACAAAAGACACAAAGTACAGACCTGAGAGTACTCGCAGTTACTGAAAGGTAGTTCAAAGCCAATAACAAGTAATAAAAGATCATGTATCTAAGACTTAAATATCAATCAGTACACATCCAACATCCAATGGCATGGGTCTAGTATAAAGACATCATTAACATGACCTTGTCTTAATGAACTTGAACTCTTTGGTCGGGTTGTTGTCTCATTGACATATTCCCCATTTCCATTCTCAATTTTATTGAGTTTATATCAGATAGAATAGACACAGACATATACATTTTATGTCATCTATCGGATTAAAGCTGATTGCGCATCTACAAATGGTATGCAATCATTCTGTCGTCAGTTAAACATAAAAGGGGATGTTACACAAAAAGGTTCCACAGGAGAGAAAAAACGGACGTGCAGGAGGATTGATTGATTGATTGGTGTTTAACGCCACTTTCAGTACTAGTGACTATTTCGTGGCGATCAGTTTTTATTGGTGGAGGAAGTCGGAGTGCCCAGAAAGAACCACCGACCTTCGGTAGGAAAACGTGCAGAAGGAGATAATGACTCTCTGTCCGAATTTTTATAAAGATCATTACTTTCAATCTGAAAAATATTTTATTAATGGTGTAAAACACAGGCCATTTAAAAATTTCTATTAAAAAAATCATAATGAGTGTTGTTAATATATTAAAGCGAGTTATCAACAGTTACTGTACATGTATGTAATTTATCCTGTGGATATCCGTTTGATGTAATGGGCGCAAACATCCTTCCTGACATGTTCTTTTTTATGTCAACTACCCAAATATTATAAATTTAAAAGTAAGGGACTACTTCTTGTGATAATTTGATAATAATACAATGGTAAGACCTTTTGTTACGCGTATAACTTTTATAACGTCGTGTTTTATAGTAATTTAAAAGTTTGCCTATCTTGAAAGAAGAAATATCGTACATTGGCAGAATCTGTTGATGTCTTAAGACGAGTGGTTTTAGACGATGGCAAACTAAACTTAATATTTATTTTTTTTCTCAATGATCTGCAAAAACTTAAGATTCTTTCTGTGAGACGTTATCAGGCATGGTTGCCTTTTTCGTGACGTCACAATAGCATGACCAGAGGAAAGCAAGAACATTTATCGTCATTATAGATTTCTACCAATGAAGAATATTCAACTTTTCTGAGATAGTATTAAGAATCAGCTCGACAATTTTAGTATTTTAGTATTATATAATTAGTCAACGAAATTGTACGATCTTGTTTCGACGGAATTGCACGAACGTGGACAATGACTTCTTAATTGTACATTAAGGATAAGATAATTTAATATTTCTTTCCCTTTGAAAATTGAATACCCTGACGCCTGCAGTCCGACAATAGAACGGGAAACGATAGCGATGTTCATTGTATATTTTATTTTGTCCATATTTTAAAGGAGTTATTTTTGAAGAGGAAATGCTCTGGGATTGTTTTGGTTTTGTATATATTTATACATTGTTCAAATGGCAAATCCTGTTCAGTCTCCGATTGGATGGATGATCTATTTATACCACAGTTTGAGTTCTGTGGATTAAATAATCTAGGTACGTAATTTGTATGCATGGTAAAAATAACAGGAAGAAGATACAGAACAAATTCTTTAAGGAATGACTGTAAAAAATTTACTGTCTATCAAGAAATAACATCAAAAATGTGGTGCACACTGAATAACCCGCGTAACGGGTTATTAAAAAGTGTGCACCACATATTTTAGGTCATTCCTTATAATTTAATTCTAAGTTCCATTTGTAAGGAGTAAATCATGAAAAAATGTTGATGACGTCACGGTCACATGACAAAACTATTATGTCTATGAGCTGACAGATAAAAACTTTTAGCCAATCAGAAGACGTGTTACATCCAACATTATCTTTTTTTTAATAACACAAACCCTGACTACAGATATCAATACTTCTAAAAAGACTACGGTAAATTATAGATATTACTATAATAACAGATTTTTTTAATTCTCTTATTTAAACGAAAAGTTATCAATTATCTTATTAATTTCGATTTTATAGAAAAAAACTGAGATGTCCTAAGTACAGGTTAATTAGTTTGCTAAGATATCTATCGTGATTTTCATTGCAGTTTTCAGGGGAACTGTCCAGAGTAGTAACCTTACACAAGACAACAAAAAGATGTATGACATTCGCATAAATGAAGTTTTCAAGGTAATTTAAACGAATCGATAAGTTATCAAAACAAAAAAATGTAAAAAATGTGGACAAAACTTCGAAGAATAGTCAGACTCTGGTACATTAACATTATAAATGAAACATAAATGGTAAGTCCGTATAAAATATATTAGAAAACTGCAGGTTTTTTTGTTGATTACCTAGCAAAACAATATTTTTTAAACAAACAAATTAAGGAAAGGGATTATCTCTAAAACATTTGTTAAGGTCTATAAATTAAACATAACCAAGGGGACATTCAAAACTCATAAGCCGAAGGGAAACTGAAAACAGTTTTTAACACCATAGTCATCAAAGGTAATTGGTCATTCACAGATAGGAAAAATAGGCTGTGGACGTCGTATGGAGATAGTAAAATTCTTTCTGCAATTAAAGAACAGTGGTTTAAATATTTATTGGGAATCCGTAGGTGTCCTGACGTCAGGAACATTTCTGCCTCTTATCAACATGCCCTCATTTTCCATTGACAGTCCAATTTTTTTACTTGTTGTTTTGATTGATCATAATTTGTTCTCGTCCTGAAATCGTATGAAATATTTGCCACTACACGTTAAATATGCAAAAATGAATTATATCTGGGATCTTGCCGCATTCTGGGAAAAAAAGGTGAATTGTACTGAATTATCATTAGTAGACCCTTAATATCTTACAGAGACCAAAGGAAGTGACCATCTTTGCCAATTATACGGATGTTGTCCCTGGTGCTTTGGTAACATTTTGGACAAATTACAAAAAAGTCAAGTGCACCGTTGACCTGGAAAATCATGTTGACTACTACATTTTCACTGTATATGGTAAGCGTTATTGTGTTCATTTATGTGATAACTCATATCTGTCTCTCCTTGTTGACCATGGTGCAAATTTTTTAAGCATAAAATTAAGTTATAATGGATTTTAAAAAACGTAATGTTAATTTTCCTATATTTTAAAAGAGGATTAGTTATTACAGTAAGAATTGTCAAAATTCAGTTTAAATATTATTATGTTGTATTTAATATTCAAATTTATCTCTGATTTTATCTATTTATAAATTATATATTTACAAGCTGATGGCAAGAATCAAACGCATACTGTCGCGATTTTTCTCAATCTGATAAAAATACAAACCCCGTGTCTACAACGATCGAACAACTTTCCGTTCTTTTTTCCGTTCTGGTAATTTCACATCAGCCAATCAAATATCTGTCTCCATTTTTTGAAGGTGTATAATTATCGGTTCTAGCATTGATTTTTTTATTGATCAATTGAATTATAACTATATATTCATTCCTAAACAGAAATGAACACTTAGGTCCTACATCCTATCGGTACTTATACAAAAATTAAAATAAGGAGATGTGGTATGATGGCCAATGAAAAAACTATTCACCCAAGTTCAAATGAAGTGGATGTAAGCAATAACAGTCAACCGTACGGCCTTCATGAGAAAAACCCATACAATATAGTCGGTTATAAAAGGCTCAGACATGAAAAATGTGAAACAGTTCCATTGAGGAAACTAAGGCCTAATTCATAAAAAAAAACAATGAACGAAAAACAAATATGACAGACATGAACCAACGACAACCACTGAATTATAGACTCCTGACTTAGGCCATGACTGGCATATTCAGAATGTGGCGGGGTTAAACAGGTTTGCGGGCGCCTAATTCTCCCCGTAACCTGGGACAGTGGTGTAACAGCACAACATATGAACAACAAACTATAAAAATCAGTTAAAAAGGGCTTAACTCATCAGATCGATACAAAGCAGAAAAACAAGTAACAAAAACACAGACCCACAACAAAAAAGACACTAAGTACAGAACTGAGAGTACTCGCAGTTACTGACAGCTATTTCAAAGCCAGTAACAACTAATAAAAAAAATCATGAAAGGAAGGGAAAAATTGTATGTTTAAAATTGAGAATGGAAATGGGGAATGTGTCAAAGAGACAACAACCCGACCATAGAGCAGACAACAGCCGAAGGCCACCAATGGGTCTTCAATGCAGCGAGAAACTCCCGCACCCGGAGGCGTCCTTCAGCTGGCCCAAAAACAAATATGTATACTAGTTCAGTGATAATGGACGTCATACTAAACTCCTAATTATACACAAGAAACTAAAATTAAAAATGATACAAGACTGACAAAGGCCAGAGGCTCCTGACTTGGGACAGGCGCAAACATGCGGCGGGGTTAAACATGTTTTTTTGAGATCTCAACCCTCGTCTTGGAAATTAGCAGAAAAACTTTACATTCCAAACTGAGTTTACAAAATATATTTTGTTCCTGTTTATTATTGAAACAAATATGACCCCTACAAAATACGAATGGTCGGTGCCTAAACAAGAAAGACTAAATAGTAACTTTGATAACATATCATTTCTACAGGACGAGTCCCTGGTGAGCCACAGGAATTAACTAGTATTGACTGGATTGCACCATTTAATACCTTCACAGAAACACAGAAACGTGGTTTCCGTGGCCTTTACGATTGTGATGGATGCGGGGGATTTGTAAGTAGCATATATTAAACTTGGTGACATAAAATAGACACTACAACAAAGTCACTAGTGGAGCAGGAACTACTGACCCTTCCGGAGCTCTACTGAGCTCACACACTGTGTTTTTTTGGTGAGGTTATTGTTGCTAAACGTTTAGTGGCTGTCTTTGCCTTTTCGTTGATGTACTTTTTGAACATGACATTGTCTGTTTTTATTGGTTTCATATGGTCTTCTTTTTATCTTCTCCCACCTTTTTTTTACAAAACATCCAATCAATTTTGGATATCAGGATCGGATGTGCTGGTTATAGAATGATGTTTACAACACATACCGTAAAACACAATATTGATATACATTGTGTAGTACAAATAATCAATGTCAGTCTTCATCACGACGAGTGTCGCATATGGAGCAGGTTATGCTTACTCTTCCGGAGCACCTGATATCACCCGGTTTTATGTGAGGGACATACGCGTGTTACTCAGTCTTTATTATATTTATGTAGTGTTTTGTATACTGGTGTTTGTCTCGCTCTCTTCGTTAATTTTGTTTTGCCATGACTGTGTTAGTCTCTCTTCGGTATGGTATCGTCCGCCTCTTTTTTTAAACGTTTCTCATGCAATAATATAAACAAACATTTGACTTCTACAGGCATTACAATTTTTCCAATTAATCATGAAAACAAACAGTTTTTCATAAAAAATATTAATTGGTTTTACATAACTGCCAAGTTCTGACTTGTTTTAGGAGAAGATTACATGCATATTGTAAAAACCAATCTGATTCTTTGAAAAATTCCCCAAAACTTATTTTAAGATGCTTGGTTATTTGATAGACTATTTTTGTTACGACCGGCATTCTTATATGGAAACCTATTGTGTTCAACTTCTTGTTTACCTTTTATTTCATTCGTGTGAGGCAGACATAGCACAGGCTTGGGACTTGTCAAGAAATAAAAGAAAAGAGGCTAGCATTATCCCTTTTTACATTCCGCTATATAGTTGATATCTTCTCATTGAATAAAATCATTCTTTGGTGATAATGGCACCGTCAACGGAGTTGGGGTGACATATTGTTATTCTACGTTTCTTTTTTTTCCCTTATTATTATTATTATGGCACCCTCAACGGAGTTGGGGGTGACATACTGTTATTCTACGTTTCTTTTTTTTCTTATTATTTTTCTTGCACAAATTTTGTCCAAGCGAGTTCTTGGAATCCAATGGACCAATGTTGATGGAACTCTACTATAATGAGGACCCCCATGTAAAGTTGTGCATCTTGCTATGGAATGGTAAAAAATGGCCGCCGTTTCCATTGAAACAGCAAAAATGCCAAAAAAACAAAGTGTTCCAAACTGGAAGAAACTCCACAGGAATGGTAACTGGCATGTGCTGATTTGCAGTTTGACTTCGGAATTTTCAATATGGCTGCCGTTACCATGGAAACAGCTAAAATATCAAAAATTCTAACTCTTCCGTTATAAGACCCAACTGGATGAAACTTAATGAAAATGTTACCCAGTATGCCAAGATGTCAAGACAATATTTGGATACTCCAAAATGGCCGCCGTTGTCATGGAAACTGGGGGCAAGTTTAACATTGACCCTATGGGAAAATGCATAAAATCAGCATTTTCTTAAAGAGTATTTCACCAAAGTCAATGAAACTGTATTGATATATAACATGACATGTGGCAATGAGATGTCTGCTTTTAGAATTTTGGAATTATCCACTGTAACCATGGCTGCAGCATAAATGTCCAAAATTTCAAAAAAAATCAAAATGCTGCAAACTGGATGAAACTTTACAGAAATGGTAACTGGCATAGGCATGGTTGCATTTTGAGGTCGGAATTTTCAAAATGGCCGCCGTAACCATGGAAACAGCAAAAATGTCCAAAATTTCAAATGCTCCAAACTTAATGAAACATTACAAAAAGGATAATTTGCATGTGTAGATGCACTCTTTGACTTTGGAATTTTCTAAATGACTGCCACTCACCTGGCAACGGGGGAAGGGTGCCATCCGCTATTGCTTGCAATTGCAAATCTAGTTATGGCACCCTCAACGGAGTTGGGGTGACGTATTGTTATTCTACGATTCTTTTTTTCCTAAATCTTCTTCCACACATTTTGTCCACGCAAGTTCTTAGAATTTAATGGACCAATGTTGATGGAACTATACCATAATGTAGACCAGCATGTGAAGTTGTGCACCTGACTTTGGAATGGTCAAGATGGCTGCCGTTTCCATGGAAACAGCAAAAATCCGAAAATATTCAAAGTGTTCCAAACTGTACGAAACTTCACTAAAATAGTAACTGGCATGGCCTGAGCTGCATTTTGAACTTGGAATTTTCAAAATGGCTGCCGTTACCATGGAAACAGTTAAATTGTGAAAAATGCTAAATCTTTCATTATAAGACTCAATTGGATGAAACTTACTGGAAATGTTACCTAGTATGCCAAAATGCCAAGACGATACTTGGATACTCCAAAATGGCAGCTGTTGTCATGGAAACTGGGGGCAAGTTTAACATTGATCCTATGGAAAAACGCATAAAATCAGCATTTTCTTAAAGAGTATTTCACCAAAGTCAATGAAACTGTACTGATATATAACATGACATGTGGCAATAAGATGTCTGCTTTTAGAATTTTGGAATTATCCACTGTAACCATGGATGCAGCAAAAATGTCCAAAATTTCTAAAAAAAATAAAAAAGCTGCAAACGGGATGAAACTTTATAGAAATGGTAACTGGCATGGGCAGAGTTGCATTTTGAAGTTGGAATTTTCAAAATGGCGGCCGTAACCATGGAAACAGCAAAAATGTCAAAAATTTCAAAATGCTCCAAACTTAATGAAAATTTACAAAAAGGATAATTTGCATGTGTAGATGCCCTCTTTGACTTTGGAATTTTCTAAATGGCTGCCACTCACCTGGCAACGGGGGAAGAAGGGTGCCAATCGCTATTGCTTGCAATTGCAAATCTAGTTATGTCACCCGTACGACAATGTCGGGTGACATATTGCTTTTCCTCCGTTTCTTTATTATTATGGCACCCTCAACGGAGTTGGGGTGACATATTGTTATTCTACGTTTCTTTTTTTTCTTACTATTTTTATTATTCTTCCACACATTTCAGAATTGAGTGATACAATGTTAATGGAACTCTACTATAATGAGGACCCCCATGTGAAGTTGTGCATCTGACTCTGGAATTTTTTAATATGGCCACCGTTTCCATGGAAACTGCAAAACAGTGAAAAAATTTCAAAATTCTAAATCTTTCATTATAAGACCTAGCTGGATAAAACTTTATGGTAATGTTCCTTAGTATGCCTAGATGTTGTGACAATATTAGGAAATTCCAAAATGACCGCCATTGTCATGGAAACAGGGCGAAAGTTTAACATTGACCCTATGGGAAAACACATTGAAGCTGCATTTCCTGCAAGAATGTTAGATCAAACCTTCTAGAACTTAATGGATATGTAACATGGCATATCCCAAAGTGGCACCTGTTTTTTGGAATTTCGGAAATTGTACCCGTTACCATGGAAATAGCAAAAAAATTCAAAAATTTCAAAATGCTCCAAAATTGATGAAATTTACAACAATGTTAATAGACATCTGTAGATGCGCTCTTTGACTTTGGAATTTTCAAAATGGCTGCCGCTCACCTGGCAAAGGGGGAAGGGTGCCATCCGTTATTGCTAGCAATTACAAATCTAGTTATTATTATTATTATTCCACCTTTTTGTCCTAGAGTTTTCTCATAGATTAGTGGACCAATCATAATGAGTGGGTACCATAATGAGGACCACCAACTCTAGTTATGCAGGACACATTTGGAATTTTTTAAATGGCCACCGTTTCCATGGAAACTGCAACAATGTGAAAAAATTTCAAAAAGCCAATTCTTTTAGACCAAACCAAATGAAACTTTATGGAAATGTTGCCTGGTATGTGTGGAAGCACCGACTATATTTAGAAATTCCAAAATGGCTGCCATTGCCATGGAAACTTGGCAAAAGTTTAACATTGACCCTACGGGAAAACATATTAAAGGTGCATTTTCTTAAAGAATATAAGATTAAACCAAATGAAACTGCAATCATATGTAACATGTCATCAGTCAGTGTGGCATATGTCTCTGGAATTTTGGAATTAATAAGCGTTACCATGGAAACAGCAAAACTTTCAAAAATTTCAAAAAATGCTCCAAATTTAATGAAACTTAATATAAATGTGAACTGGCAAGTAAAGATGAGACTCTCCACTTTGGAATTTCCAAAATGGCCGCCGTTGCCATGGAAACATCAAAAATGAGAAAAATTGAAAAAGCCTTTAATGTACTGAAAATTTGCAGAAAGGTGTATAGCAATGCATATATGTGCAACCACTGTTTAAAATTTTGAATTGGCTGCCGCTTAGTGGCAATGGGGGAAGGGTGACATCCGCTATTGCTTGCAATTGCAATTCTAGTTTTTATTATTTTTCTCCACACATTTTGTCCAAGCGAGTTCTTGGAATCCAATGAACCAATGTTGATGGAACTCTACTATAATGAAGACCCCCATGTAAAGTTGTGCACCTTGCTATGGAATGGTAAAAGATGGCCGCCGTTTCCATGGAAACAGCAAAAATGCGAAAAAAATCAAAGTGTTCCAAACTGGAAAAAACTCCACAGGAATGTTAACTGGCATGTGCTGATTTGCAGTTTGACTTTGGAATTTTCAAAATGGCTGCCGTTACCATGGAAACAGCTAAAATATCAAAAATTCTAACTCTTCCGTTATAAAACCCAACTGGATGAAACTTTATGAAAATGTTACCCAGTATGCCAAGATGTTAAGACAATATTTGGATACTCCAAAATGGCCGCCGTTGTCATGGAAACTGGGGGCAAGTTTTACATTGATCCTATGGGAAAATGCATAAAATCAGCATTTTCTTAAAGAGTATTTCACCAAAGTCAATGAAACTGTACTGATATATAACATGACATGTGGCAATGAGATGTCTGCTTTTAGAATTTTGGAATTATCCACTGTAACCATGGATGCAGCAAAAAAAATCAAAAGGATGAAACTTTACAGAAATAGTAACTGGCATGGGCAGAGTTGCATTTTGAAGTTGGAATTTTCAAAAAGGCTGCCGTAACCATGGAAACAGCAAAAATGTCAAAAATTTCAAAATGCTCCAAACTAAATGAAACTTTACAAAAATGATAATTTGCATGTGTAGATGCACTCTTTGACTTTGGAATTTCAAAATGACTGCCGTTACCCTGGCAATGGGAGAACGAGGGTGCCATCCGTTATTGCTCGCAATTACAAGTCTAGTTTCTATTGAACTTGAAGTAATATGAATTACAAATACAAAAAGGTCTGATACATCTACCTTAGCTTGCATCTATAAGCTGACATTGCGAGTCGGTTGAAAACGGCACAGGAGATAACTACTTTTCCTATTTTTATCTTTCCTGTTGTAGTTGTACTGAAATGGAGGTTGTAACTCACTCAGGAAAATTTTTCTTTGATAATTTTGGCTTATATTTACTATTTTTAATGACTTTTTGATATTCATGCTTTCATTCATTATATATTTCATTAAACTCACACCAGTATCGATGCACTTTCGTGTTTTTGCCATGGCATTGTTAGTTTAGCTCGACTTATAAGTTTTGAATGTCCCATTGGTATCTTCCGCCTCTTTTTCAAATCTTTAAAGACATTTTGGAATAACTCATTTCGTTGTTTATGTCCATAGACATATGAGAAGCACAAATGTCGTTTTTAAATGAACCATATAAAAATATAGAATTGTTCCACCGGACAATTTTTCCCTGCACTAAAATCAACTGGCATATGAAACGATATCTCTTCTTTGATTCACGTTGATATTATAGTGAGCTCATCTGTATTTTTTTTAACAAAATATTCCCAAGTTGCATCCACATACTACGGCTTTGAGTTCTGTCATTGCAAGCCTGAAATAATTATCGGAAGCAGAGAATACTGTACTCTTTATAATGTGGAGGTGACTTCAAATACTGGTTCAACGAATTTTTAATACACTACAGATACGTCCTTTTACATGCTTCAGAGCCCTTAACTTTGTTTAACCCAAAGCCAAGATAAAAAGAAGACAAATGCTTATTACAGGTTATTATATTATTAATTTGATTACAAAAAGGATATATTTAAAGGGCTATTTAAATGAATAATTTGTATTTGATTTTCAATTTCAATTAAATTCTTCATTCTTGGCTATCAATTTCAGATTGAAACAAACAATTCTAAATAATTTGCCTATTGATTATATATTTCGACCGGACGACTGCAGTACATATGGTTGTGGTGATGCACGATTACCGAAATAAAATATGACAGACATGTGTACATGTGTATTATATAATAGCAGATGAAGTTAAGGTTTCTACCCCCAGGGATAGATATTACCTTAGCTGTTTTTGGCAAAACCTATCGGAATTTTTGGTCCTCAGTGCTCTTCAACTTCGTACTTTACTTGGCCTTTTATTATCTTTTTTATTCGAGCGTCACTGATGAGTCTTTTGTAGACGAAACGCGCGTCCTGCGTCCAAATTTTAAGGTGCTTCTCTATGATTAGTTCATTTAATACTTATTATTGATTTTAACATTTATGTATTTATATTTTTCATATTGCTGTTATCTACACCAGAACACTGGTTTTAAGAAATGTGACCGACGTCTTGTTAACGACTGTTACAAAGCCAACGCTGTGTGTGAAAGAGATGCTGGCCAGGAATGTAAATGGCGACTTATTGAGCCATGTAACTGATGTTCAAAATTTTGTATTCCCTGTATTGATGTTTGAATTATTGATTTTATCTGTAGTATAAGAATATAATTAATAATAAAATCATAGGGGAATACGTTGTTTCATAATTAATTTTAAAGAACTATAAGTCGTTTTCCTCTGTTCATCGTGGCGGTAACATTCGATTCTAATCTTAACTATTGAAGGTCAGTCACCGTACGGCGTTCAACAATGAGCAAAACCCATACCGTATAGTAAGATATAAAAGGTCCGACATGACAAAATGTGAAATAATTTAAACGAGAAACCAAAGGCCTGATTTATGTACAAATAAATTAACAAAAAACGAATTTGACAGACATCAGCCAACGAAAACCACTGAATGATAGATTACTGACCTCGGACAGGCACATACGAAATGTGATGGGGTTGAACATGTTTGCGAGCGCTATAAACTGTCCCCTAACCTGGGACAATGATGTAACATGCCGTTTATGACCAATATTGCTGAAAAAGTCATTATTACACAGCTTCGCCTCGATTGACAATGTTTTTCTTGCGGTAACAACAAAACATTTGTTCATGTCAATTAAATTTAAAAATTGAATAAAAATAAGTCCTATACATCAACATACGTATTTTTCAGTAATAGACTGAGCCGAAAAGCTGTATTTATATAAACCGGGCGCGGTCATCAGTGTTGCGTATGCTGATTTTCGTCAAAATATCATTTAATAACATTCCAAATTACCATCTCATCTATGTGTTATTTATATATTGACTACCTAAAGTTTATATATATCGATAATAATTGCGCTCGGTACATTTGATAAGGTGATAATGGCTTTGGTTTAGTATATTAACCTGGGTCCACTTCAGTATTTATCACCTTCGTTTATCATGTTATTTTATTAGACATTTTCGAAAAGTCATCTACACGGACACTTATACCGACACCGACACCTACACTGACTAAAAAAATAGAGGGACCGTATCAAAATGTCAAAATACACTAAATGAATTTAATTTAACATTTATAACTATATTAACGAGGTAAATTATATTTAAAAAATAAACGCATATATTTTTTATATGGCGACCCTGCAAATAGGATGGATATCCCATAGAAGAAAAAGACTCCCTCGTAAAACTTTGTTTGACTCAGCAGATTAGGTAGAAAAAAAATATAAATTCATTATTCGTTAGTTGGTTTTCTTTAATTTTTAATTCAAAATCTGAGCTAGAAACACAAAGTCCTCCCATCAGTATTGGAATTCTTTTAGTGCCGATTTGTGATAATCCAACTGTTTTCTTCTAATTGTCGAATTATACTGTTTGATCTTTTTCAAGCAGTAAATTACATTTCATGTAGTTTTTGGGGTAAAATAACCAAAATGGGTATTCATCTTATCAAAAGAGAAAATCGGGTACACCTTTTTACGTTCAAGCGTGTTCACTGTGCTTAAACGGCTGTGGGTAAGTTACCCACAGCCCAAGATGGAGGCGCCTGGCTTCGGTAAGAAACTTCTCTCCTATATAATAACAATACAATGAAAACAACACAAATGTTCAGTAATTAAAAAGTTGTATCAATCTTTTAGGGAAACACCTAAACATAAAAGATGATTAAATACTGCAAAATAAACGATCACATTACGATTTTCGAAAACACTTAGGATGTCCGTAACTTGAAAACAACTTGTCCGTAACTTTTTTCATTATACCAATAGGGATGTCCGTAACTTTAACGGTATGTCCGTAACTTTAACATGATGTCCGTAACCTGGGACATAATATATTATAGTATAATAGTCCCAGCTGTAACTTTCAAAGAATCGATATTCATGGATGTAATAATTAAACATACTAGTATTATAGAAATTGCATCGAATATATAATCAGAAATAAAGTAGATTTCTAGTATGATATAATTCTTTTGTGAATTCCATGATTTCTGGTATTGTACCCAGCTAATAAACTAGAAATTTGTTTTTAAATTACATGTGTTAGTTTATCTAGTGACATAGATACCATGTTTATCACTCAATCAGCCAACACAATGGAACTTCAAATTTTAGCATAAGGAAACACGTTTTGGACGAAAAATCAGGACATGCAGCTGATAAATCTCACCACTTCCCACTGCAGATATCACAAATTCAGATCAAATTACTAAAGGCTTTAAACCATACATTAAAAGTGAACATACTAAAATCACCTTTAAGAGAACAAGTTCAGATGTCATTCCTGAGCGGAAATTCATAGACGGAGCTGTCCAGACCCCTGAAGAAGATACTTACGCTTTGATAGCAAGTGTTATTGAATCCCTGAGGTCAATGAAACGTTTAGAAGATTTTAAATCTACCTTAATTGCTGTTATAAACGGACACCTGTTCAACAATTTAGCCTTCCATTTACTCTAAGATGTTTCATAACACTAGGTATAATGGAGACCATAACTTTTTGGCTAACAATTCGGAAACTAAAGGAAAAGGTATCAATTTTTCCCGCGGCTAAAGGGCCAAGGACTCAATAGTGAACAATCTATAAAGCCAGAAGATAAATTTCGCCGTACCATCAGATCTTGTTTTATGTAAACACTCTGCAAAGTATACTTTGGATGCTGCTAACCAGGTTTACTGGTTTAATCTATCAACATATTATTCGAAAATCGGGAATAAATTGAAAAAAAAACAACGGTAAATCCGTTAAACTCGGGTATGATTTTTTACAGCTATGTTCTCTTTTCTCTTGGTTATTTTGACGCATATCGTAATAGTATAAAACTAGGTAATAAATACGGGATTTGATAGTGTTTATTGTCCTTTAATTGTTGAAATTACCAATCTTACAATTTTGAAAACAAAAGTTACCCACATTCGAAAATAAAGTTACGGACAGTCTGATTAGTTTTGACCATAAAGTTACGGACATCGTATGCATTTTTTAAAGTTGGCCTTGCGCTTAAATGAACTCAAAATTAACAAATTTATGGTAATGGTAAGTGATTTCTTTATTCAAGAATCCTATAAATATTTAGATAGTTCATGAAAAACGTCGCAAAAAGCAGATTTTGTATCAATTATATAATATCAACGAGTTTAGAGACCGCCATCTTGGGCTGTGGGTAACTTAAGTTACCCACAGCCGTTTAAGCACGGTGGTGTTTGAGTTGATTGTTTTGTCCTGAATACGTATAAAGCAAAAGTATTGATACACCAGTCTCGCTTCAAATCCATTATTTTTTTATATATTTAGGCTACATTTTGATATAATAACATTACACATTCACAGTACCAATACCTTTCTAATGTGTCATAACAACAGAGTAGGTGTGTTTGAATAAAATAAGAAAAGCTTCGTGCTATTTCAAATGTTTAAACTGGAAGTGTATTTCTGAGTTGTATTTTGTATGTTGATATAAAAATATGATGTGGTACGATTGGTAATGATGCAACTATCCATCAAAGTTAAAATGACGTGGATGTAAGCAATCATAAATGGCCTTCAACAATGAGCAAAGCCCATACGGTAAAATCAGCTGTAAAAGGCACCGACTATACAAAATGTGAAACAAGTCACACGAGAAAACTAACGGCCTGATTTATAACAACACAAGTTACGAAAAAAATTAATATGACAGATATGAACTAACGACAATCACTGAATTACTGGCTTCTGATTTGGGACAGGCACATAAAGAATGTGGCGGGGTTAAACATGTTTGTGACCTAGTTTTGACTTGTCTGTGTCATTGTGTTTCTGTCGCTCTGACCTTCATCCTGCATCATTATTCATATTTACATGTCGTTCATTCTTCATAATGAAATAGACCAATTCGACAAGTTGAACGTGTATTTTCAAAAGAATATTTACAGTATTGAGAAAAGAAGTAAATTTTAGCCAAATGGCTGTAAACTTGAATAGATTTTCAAGAATCGAAATTTGAGAAATTATTTCTTGATGGTATGATCTGTTTTATTAACGTCCAGTGACAAATATTACTTGTATATATGTATTCAGGGCGATTCGAATTCGACGCTCAATTTGTTTTTATAGAAATATTTGAATGCTTAATCCCCACCCCCCTCCACACACACACACACACAAAGAAAGGGGTGGGGGCAAAAGAAAAAGAGAGCGTAGCTCGGGAATTCAGTTGAAGCAAGATAATATTATAATTACCGGTACATTCACCGCCTATAATAATACTGTCATGCCTAGACAATATTCGTACATTGTTGGAAATATTTAAAATTTATTTGTATGAACTTTCGAAACAGAGAGAAAAGTGAAGCTCGCCGAGCTTTTCTGTTGTTTCGTAGCAAGTACAAATACAATAAGTAACATTTGATATTTTCCTACAATGTACGAACATTGTTTCCTTCCTGCAATTTAATATTTACTCTTTAACGTATAGTTTTTTTACTTCCCAACCGTTGGATTTTTAAAAAAAAAAATTTTTAATATGAAATCACCACGACTTGAACGCGGACCGTAACTGTGACGTAACCAATAATTTGAATATAACCAGTCGCTAACAACAGAAGCGGAATACCAGGCGACTATAAACGTATATTTGTATAGAAGAAACGGGTCAATTCAAGGATAAATCTATATAATATCCTCAACCGTGGTATCAGTGATAATAATTTTGTTGTACATTATATAACTGAAGATATTTTAAAACCAATGTTTGGCCTTTATTTCAATAAACTTATTTGCTTATTTCTATTGACTTACAGATTCTTTAAAATTTAAGTTTCAAATTATCAATATTAAAAAAAAGTGGTATGGAATTCTAATGAACTGATAATTAAAAGTTATCAGCATTTAGCAATGCTAGGGGTGGATAACCGCAAGGCCGTCAACACAATGTTTTGGTTTATACGATATTTAACACAATATTCTAGACGGAACACGTTTTAAGTTGATCTTTGAACTGCATATTTTATACCATATTTGGACAAATAACATTCCTTGCTTTTTAACAAGAAAACATGATTATTGCGTCAATAAACTAAACACTAATTGTAATCATTTTCACTTAATTTAAGCTAATTATCACCATTTCAACTCTTTAGCACATATCATGCGACATGGTTTTGTGAAGTA